AAACATCCTAAGTGTTATGATAGCAAAGGAACACCGGTCAAGCCGACCAGGCCACCAGGCCGAAAGGAAAGCACCTAAGTGGATCCCAAAACACTTAGAAAAACTTTGAAAAATTCCTAAGTGTTATGAAACTACGTCCAAGCCGATCAAGCCACTAGGCCGTAAAGACAGGAGCTACATGGACCCAAAAACACTTGAAAAATTCCTAAGTGTCAGCAAAGGGGCATAGGCCGACCAGACTACTGGACGGGAAGGCCAACCTCACGGACGTAGCGGATACTCGCGGGTGACCCAAGTTACGACTTGATAGACAATTTACAGAATTGAAATGACAAAGCAAACAAGCACACAAAGGATTCAAGGCCGAAAAGGACAGCAAAAATTTCTTCAATTGATCAAATTCATTACAATTGGGGGGCACTACGGCCATTACATAATTGGGCAACAAATGAAAAGCTAACTACAATAGGGACTAGCCGATCAAGCCTCCGGGGCTGGCTCTTCAACCTCGTCGGCCCCCTCCTCATCGGCCTCAGCTTCCTGGCCGGCAGCGGCGCTGGTGGCATCATCCAAGAAATCGAACTCAGTATAGTCCGGCTCGCCGAGGCCGGAGCTTTCTATGGGGGACTCCCGCTCCGACAGCGGAAGCGTGGCCTGCCCTTCGGGATCCTTCATCAGCTTTGGGAGCTTCAGGTTCCATCTAGCCCATCCATCCGTGTAATTCATGGCCTTCAACGCCCGGGATAGCCGCCGGTACAGGAGCCTTTGCATCCGCTCCTGGCCCAGGTTGTAGTAAACAGACATCTCCTGGCTGAAATACTCCCGGCCGGCAGGGGAGTTCATCCCCCAATTCTCCAGCCTGGCGGCCACCACCTCGTAGCACCAGGGGAGCCTCTCATCGGCCTTCCACCCTTCGGCCAAGAACTTCTCAACAGCCTCATCGGCAGCCCTCACGACGGCGGCCTCAGCCTCAGCTTTCGCCTTGGCGGCCTCCTCGCTCCTGCGCTTCTCGGCCTCAAGCGCTCTACGGGACTCTGCGAGCTCCCTTTTGCTCTCTTCGAGCTGGACCAGGGCAACGTCCCTGGCCGCAACGGCCTCATCATCTTTGGCCTGCAGCGCCTTGGCATCCTCCCGAAGCCGGTCAAGGCAAGCTACCGCCTCGTCGGCCGAGGCGGCCTTCTGCTCCAGCGCTTGCAGGCGGATTATCTCCCAGTACTGCCTCTTATGGCTCTCCATAAGCATGAAGGCACTCTGCAGAAGGAAAACAAAGGTCAGGCCACAATCTCTACATAGACGAAGAAAGACAAGGATATAAGGACAATCACTTACTTGGACGAGGAGGTCCATGCCGCCCTCATAAATCTTCGGGTCCTCGAGCTTCTTCAGATGAGCCCGATCTTTGGCCGGCATGGCCTTGGCCAGGATGACATGGCCGGGGACGAGCTCATTAAACACGCCCCCGCCGACGGGATACTCTATCACTTTCTGATAGGTGGCACCGGCGATCTCCTTGCCGGCCCTCTTCGTCCGTGGTTCCTGGACGAGAGGCAGCGCTGGGGCGGCATCACCAGCAACAGTAAGGTCCACGACGGGACCACCATCACCCACGCTGGGGACAGTAAGCGTACCGGCCTCACTAGCCGGAGAAGGGGAAGGAGCCCTCTTCGTCTTCTTAGAGACGCTCACGCCGGCCTCGGTCAACTTTTTCTGGCCGTCAATGGCCGGTCTCTTTTTCTTGGATGGGGCAGGCTTTGGGGCCGCATCTGCAGTTGCCCCGCTCCCACCGGCCGCGGCACGCCTGGCCGCTTCGGCCGCCTTAGCGGCAATCTCCTCGGCCGCTTTGGCCTTTGCAATAGCCATCATGGAACGGCGGTCCATGACAAAATCTACAAGGGAAAAGCACAAACAGATTAGTAAGGCAAAGGACAAAACATAAAGACAGAAAGCCGAAGAAAGAATTACCATCGGCCTCAGCAGGAATGCCCAGGTCCGGGCCGTCAGCCTCCTCAAAGGTGGTGGTCATCCTCGGCCAGAGTTGGAGGTCATCCTCCTTGTCACCATAAACATAGTACCTCACGAAGCCGAGGGCGGCCATCTTGTACTCAGTGATGTAATCTTTCACGCTCCTCGGCCCCCCCTCCAGGAAAGCCTCCACCTGAGCGTCCAAAATAGAGCTCTTCGGCGGGTCATGCAGATTAAATCTCCCGGTATGGCCGAGGGAGGGAAACTCGGTGCCACTCTCACCAATGGACACAAACACGAACTTGCTCTTCCACCCATGAATGGACGTAGGCAAGTCCGTGAAGCTCCTCTTCTTCGGCAGCTGCTGAAGAGTAGCGTAGGCCGCACAGTTCTTGTGGCTTCCTCGGCCTATCTGGTACAGATTCATAAATAATGCCGTCGTCGGCTTGTAGCCCAACTCCTCACACCGGAGCAAGAACCCCACCATCAAGGAATAGCTGTTCGGCGTCAGCAAGGCCGGAGGAAGCCCTACCATGTCCAGGTACTCAGTAATGAAAGGGTGAAGAGGAAACCTCAACCCCTTAGCAAAACTCATCGGGTATACTCCAAAGTATCCCGGTGGTGGAAGAAGAACATGGTCCGTCGGCTTGGGCGCCCTAACCCGCCCGAACGGCCCCACGTACATCTGGGCAACCAGATAGTCGGCCGCACTGCTCTCCGGCTTTATCAGGAAGATGTTGGTGAGATCCAAGTAGGAGACGCCGGGCCCACTCTTCGGCCTCCTCACTCTCTTCGGCTTGGCGGCTCCCTTAACGGCGGACACCGGCCTCGGGCACGGAATGACAGCAGAAGTCGACGCCCCGTCCACCACTCGGGACGCACCTACGTCCTCACCCCTTGAAGAAGAGGCGGACTCCTCGTCCTCGCTTTCCTCGTCCATCAGCTCCGCGGATTTGTATGGACTTAAACGCTCTATCTCCTCCTCAAACTCCTCGAGCACCTCGTAGTCAAGCGACCTCGTGGAGGGCTGGTCGTCGTAGGGGTAGTAGTCGTCGTTCAAGCTCTTCATTACTACTACTATGGGCTTAAGGAGAACTTACGATCTAAAGGTGTTTAAATGCCTAACACTAGATCAACTACTTACGGAGCAAAATACGAAAAGTGAGGAAGATCGTGATGAACACTAACCTCAAACAATGAAGAACACGAAGAACAGGCTTGGGAGTTTCTCTCTAGAAAATCGGCCAGCACTTCGACAAATTCAGAATGCAAATGTGATTCTTCGTCGGAGGGGAAGGGGTATTTATAGGCCCCCCCACCAACGGTCACTACACGTGGCACTCCCCCAATGGCCACATCAACGGCCACCACTGGGGGGCCACCACGTCACCAACGGGCCAGGACCAACCCATATCAACGGCCCACCGGCAAATCAGACTCTACGGCCTACACACGCTCAGCGGCTTTACAACTGCCAGCAAGCGCCCACAACGTCCCACTTGCTCACCAAGATCACAAATGCCAAACAATGAGCGGACGGCAACGGCCAGGAACGTAACGGCCACAGGACAAAGGGGACAAATAGCCCACAGCCTTCGGCTCCTCGTAATAACCCTTGATGATAACTCTCTACAAGCGATCTGCGCACAAGGGTTCTCCCACAGGGTTACCTTGGCCAGAAAATCGCCATGAGAGTTGGATTCAGGAGGACTACGGCGAGACCGCTTCAGCCAGGGACTCAAGCAACTCCTTCACCCCTCACACTCTTCGGCCTGAAGCAGTGGGGGACTGGGGGACTACACCGGCCTCAACAAAACAAAAAAGTGCGAACAAAGTAGCCACAAAGCATGGCCACATCGTCCTCCGCCAACAATCAACCTTGACGGGCTCTTCGGCCAAAAACACGAAGGCCAACCAGCAACGGCCAAAAGGAGTGCGCAAACACCCTCATCGGCCACACAAAGGAAATGAGGCCATTGTCCTCAAAGCAAGGAACAACCTCAAACGGCTTCACCGGCCCAAACATAAGCTTCAAACCACCAACGTCCTGGAAAGGGAAAGCGCGCCTTCAACGGCCACCATTGAAAGAAGGACACTCATCGCCCCAAAACAAACTAAGGAAACAACGGCCTCCCCGCCCACGGCGAGGAACAGGTAACGGCCTAAGCACAGAAATCTACTCTCCTTCACTTCGTCTACGTCTCAGCTTAGAGAGTGGGGGACTCCTGATGGAGTATATGGGTCTGAGCCCCTGGACCCACATACTCGGAAGAACAGAGCACAAGACAACAGAGTGGCGCCCTCGTCGGCCATGACGCCCCCGTCGGCCGAAAAGGTGCCAACTCGGATTACGGTCCTGAGCCTAAGGGACTCGGGTGCCCTCGTCGACCGTGCCCTCGTCGGCCACGCCCTCGTCGGCCAAGGGGGTCTCCCAGAATCGGATCCTATACTTACTCGTTTGTACAGCCCATTAGAGGCTTTGTATTCGGCCCAGTAGCGGTCCAGTTGTAAATGGGCCTCCCAAGCCCAAGGCTTGGGAGCCCAACCCTAATTTTCTCTATAAATACTCCCCTTGGGAGTAGTTATAGGGGTGACAAGATCATTCTATTGAAGCATATTACTGCACTTCTCTCTCTAGCTCTCACCTCTCTCTAGAATTTAGGAGTCAATACTCCATCAGAGGTGTAAGATAAATGAAAACGTAGAAAAGAGAATATATTAAGAAACGTAAATAATGACAAAGTATGAAAAAGAAAGTAGTTACAAGCTCGTTCCATTCTGTACGAGGGCTTTTGTGCTAATTAATGTAACTAGGTCTTGTGAAATAGATAAATTACACAATTGTAATTAACAATTGTATTTTAATTACATATAAATATTACAATTTAATGCTTGTTTTTTAAAAAATACGAGATAGGAATTTTTAATCAAATAAATAAAGATTTATTATATTATGTGGACTATATTTAAAATTTTGGGCCTTCTGAGATCGAGAGGCCTTGTGCGATAGCACTTCTTGCACGCCCTCATCTACGGCCCTGAAGACAATAAAGAAAAGACAATCTAGATATATAGATTATAGATATTTATAGAGAAAGCAACGGGGCCATCATAATAATTTTAAACTTGTCTAAAAGAAAGGATGGCAATTTGATCATTTAGTTATACTTACTTATCCCTCATTATGATTATGATAGTTCTATTTGACTATTTATTTTAGAAGCAGAGAAGGAGGACCATATTATTAGCCGTATGCAAAAAAAAAGATGCTTGAACGGTTGTTCTATTTTATTGCATTTATTTTTTTTTACGACGTGAAGTAACTTCTTTTACATTCTATTTATATTATATATGTTACATTCTATTTATATTCTATGTTAATCTAGATTAATTAATATATTATCTTTTTTATATTATATATTATCAGGGTAATGATCCATCAACCTGTTAGTTCTTTTTTTTGAGAATCAAACGGTTGAAGCGGTCTCAGAAGCGGGAGAGTTGTTGAAAATGCGCGAAAGCCTCGTCGAGGTTTATGCGCAAAGAACCGGCCAACCTAAGCGGGTAATAATCCAAGACATGGAAAGAGACGTTTTTTTATCACCAACAGAAGCTAAATCTTATGGGCTTGTTGATGCTGTAGGGGTTTCTCCTGGGGCTCAGGGTTAGTCCTATAGAGTTTTTCATTCAATATGGATTTCACTAAAACTAAAAAGTCTGCTGTTGTATTGAATCTTCTGGGTGATTAGATATTTTCTTCAATGGAAATAAAACAAATTCAACATAAGTCGGTTCGGATTAATCTAAACCAGCCCATTATATAATATAATAGATTAAAGATGCCAACTATTAAACAACTTATTAGAAATAAAAGACAGCCAATAAGAAATATCACGAAATCTCCCGCTCTTCGGGGATGTCCTCAGCGTCGAGGAACATGTACTAGGGTGTATGCGCGACTCGTTTATATTATAAGTTGATGCCCAAAAATGAAAAGTAATTCGCCAGTATAAAGGGATATATATGGATGAAGGAACTTCATTCCTTCTTTCATAAACTACATCAATTCCTATTTTGGGTACAAAGTTTATGGTTTCCATTGGTGCAAATCCAATTACCTTAATTTCATTAGAGAAGCAATTCTCCTTTGGTAGCAAAAGGTTATCCATTAAGCGGAGAAAATCCTAAAAAACATGAGGACCCAATCTTGCAAGAACGGACTAAAAAGGTAAGCTAACTTAGCTAACTTTCCTACTTAAATACCGTTACTTTATAAGTAGATCGAGTTGTGAAAGATCTATTACTTTATTGAATAATGAATGGGCAGAGCCTCAATAATGTAAACTATACAAGTTCACCATAAATAAAGTTTATTCAATTTAGTGAAGGGCTCTGGTGTATAGAAAAGACCTCACCGTTTCAGAAGAAACCATAGAAACGAAGGAATCCCACTATTTATTTATCGAGTTCTATTTTTTTTATTAACTCTCTTTATCGATACATAGAAATTGAAACTTTGTTTTGTCTTTCTTATTTTTGTTTGGTAGTCAAATAACTAAATAATAAAATAAAAAATGTGGTTGTGAAGGTTAGTCGCAAAAGCCATTGGGATTTTTATTTTATACATTGGAAAAATCCGTTTCCATACCTTTTTTCATAAATAATTTTCGTAAATAATGAAGAATATACTATTTATATATACTTGAAAGATCGAATATACAATATTATATAAACATTATAGAATAAATATATGTAAATATATAAACACAAAGATATAATAATATAATACACATATAATATTAATTAATATATGTAAATATATAAACACAAAGATATAATACTACGTAATATAATACACAAGAAGTATGGTAATAGTTATTGCTGAGACAATCACAATATTGCTATGAAACAATCTTTGTAAGCATGAAGTAAGATTTTTTTATAACAACAAATTCACGTTTGGTAAATCCTAAAAGTGTTTACATTAGCAATATTCAGTGAACCTGAAGCAAAAAAATCTTAAACTCCAAACATTGATATGAATTATGTATTGGCCAGTCTGAACTCCATTTTTTGTATTCCTTCATAGTAGACAAACAGTTCAGGTTTTAGGATTACAGGAGAATATTTTATTTTAGAGATGACATTTTTTTAGTAGGTAATTTTGCGGATATAAAACATTACTTAACATCCAAGTCCTCATATATCTTTATATTATATTAAGGTTAAATATTGACGATGTTTGTATGACTAAAATCTTTACTTTTAAGACAAAGTAAGATATTCTTTGTTCTGGCTACACTTTATGAAAGATTGAAAAGTACTCAAGTTCCCATCTTTCTGGTTGTCCATTTTCCTTCTCACAATGTGCCTTGTTGTAGCAATTGGAATGGGTCTATGGCTAAGGAGGCACAAGGGGCAGCTTGATGCATGCCTTATAAATGAAAAAATACATTGGAAACAACAATACTGAACGGAAATTGCACAGATATTATGGGATACCCATGGAAACCTTTTTCTCTTTTGAGTTCCACCATAGTTTTCCAAATAATGATACCAATATCTTTGTATATCACTATGGAGTTGGTTCATTTGGGACAATCATATTTCATGATCGGGGACAGGCATATGTATGATAGTTGGTAAAATTCAAGGTTTCACTGTAGATCCTTGAATTTTAATGAAGATTTGGGTCTGAAACATTATGTATTTTCTGACAAAACGGGAACACTAATTGAAAACAAGACGGAGAGCAAGTATATGGGGAATAAACTATGCAAGTTCCCTTTCTGTAGCTGATAACATTGGTGGTAAAAAATCATGCATTACTTCAAATTATTGCTTCTTATTTTTGAGAACTCAGATTCAATTACTAATGTGATCCGGCTATGTAAAAACGATATTGTAAGTTTTGTTGACTATCTTCAAGCATGAAAGTTTATCTAGATAGATTTCCTATTTAAGATGATTGAAGATAAGGGAGTAATATTTCAAATTCATAAGCTTCTTTGGAAACAAAGCTTCATCTCTGTGTCTTTGCATTTCCTTATTGATGTGTGTCTGTTTACAGATTATCTTTGGCAGTGACACCTCACTTATTTTACATTATCTAGCACTCCCTCCATTCTATTAATGACCCGTTTGGATGGAATGCTTAGAGGTGTTAGTAATGGAAGTGTTAGTAAATGTGGATTCTAACACTTGTTTGGGAGAAAAATTAAGAAGTGTTAGGAAGAGTTAGTAAGTTTTAGAAAGTGTTGATAATTATCTCACCAACTCCTCAATTGTCCACTTTTTAACGGCAAATTATACCGTGGTACCGGCATACCGTGGACATGGTATGCCTGTGCCACATACGAATACGACACCGTATTTCTTTCTGTTAAGAGCACTACATATGTTTTTTTGTTCTTTTCCAAAAATCCCTCAAATCCACTCACTTTCGTTTCTCTCAAGTCATCCACAATGCTCCAGGAATGCTATTTCTTTCACTTTACTTTTCTTTTATTTTCTTCAATTCTTTTCACAACTCCATCAAAATTCTAAAAAAATTAAATTGTGATTTTACTTATCTTTATTTTTAACTAATTTAATTATAACTGATCAATTAACTTCTTTTAAAAAAATTATTACAACATTTTATTAATCCACATGAAATAAGTACAATGCATTAATAATCATACACTACTTTTGCCAAAAAAAAAATAAATAATCATACACTACTTTTTTTTACCTTTTTCTCCAATTGAAATTACTACCGAATTTATAATTTTTGAGAGGTTTTTAAGACATTGAGTTTGTTTATTTTGATTCTTGAAGTTACATTTGATAATATATCATGAAATGACATCTTCTTCTGCCCAAGTTACATCTTAATGTACGTGAGTTACATCTTTATATACGCGAGTTACATCTTAATGTGTGTGAGTTACACCACGGAATAAACTCTAGATATAACATTTTTATTGCCCTAATATTACAAATAAAACATATTCACTATTTATAAAAAAGTAATTAAACTATTAGGATCAATTTTTCATTGTTTACATTGAAATCAATGTTTATAATATCTCAAACACAAAAAAAAATCGTTGTTCAATTTTCCAGCAAGTTACATTCTGTATACACATAAGTTATATTTGCCATCAACGCGGGTTACATTTGTAATAACACGAGTTACATTAAGAAATCAATCTCTGCTATTGGAACAAAAAAATGATCTTTTCTAAAAAAAATTATGGCCATGATATTAAAAACAAAATATATTCCCGTTTCACCTTAAGCAATTGTGTAATTAGAGTCTTAGTTTTCACTGTTTACATTGAAATCAATATTTTATTTCTTATACTATGTATTAGATAAGTTACATTTCGAACGGACTTGAGTTACATATCTTTACACGTGAGTTACATCATTCATGTTACTCGGCCAAAAAGAAAAAAAATAGCTACTGTACACGCGTGTACTGTTCACACGATTTATTTTAAATTGTTTAAAACTACGTCGTTTTTTAGAGTGGAGCATGATGCTCAAGATGGGCGGGCCGGTTGCACCGTATATGAACTGCTTTTTAACACCCAATTTGGAGTGTATGTTGGACAATTACTAACCTCTCATTTACTGTTATAAAATATAAAATCCTTCATATTTTCAAATTGTCATTTCAATTTTTCCATTTTTAATTATTATTTCTTAAATAATACTGTAACATTTAAGATGACTATATTGGGCATCATTCGCACGTAGTGCGCACACCGCTAGTATATATATATTGCAAGTAGTTCGGTGTTCGGTTCAGTTTACGATTTTTCGATTTTAAACCAAACCAAATCAAACCATTTGGTTTGAGCAAATCCTTACCAAACAGTTTAGTTAGGTAAACCCACACCAAACCAAACCAAACCACCAATTTTCGGTTTGGTTTGGTTCGGTTAAACCAAACCATTTTGCCCCGCCCTAGATTACAACATGAAGCAGTTGAGATTTGAGATTGAAACAAAAAAGAGGGACCAAATTGAAAAACTACACCCATAGATGGAAAACCGAATTTGCTAATTTTCAACAGACGCCAAAACCGAACTTCCACATTGCCAAATGTCAAGTGTAGTTTTTCATGAACCATAGATGCGTAGACCCCTTCACTGTACACCCACTACAACGATCCTCTATCTAACAGTATGGGTGAATGCATTTGGTAGGTTTCCTAGCTCCACAGAAGTCTAATAAAAGCAACAAGGAAGGTAAATTACTCTGTTGAGTGATCAGAAATTCTAAAGCATGGAGAAGCAGGAGAAGGAAGAGAGGGAAGTTATGGAGAATTCTAGGAAGAGACAGCTCAAGGCTATGCTTCGAAAGAACTGGCTCCTCAAGATTCGCCATCCCTTTGTCACATGTGCTGAGGTTCTGTCCTGTTATCTGTATCAATTTTTTTTTTCAAAAAGAAGAAGGAAGAAAAAGAAATATGCATGTTAGCATTACTTACATATTGAAGTATTTTAAAGTGCATTTGAATTATTAAAATTGAGTTTTGTTTTCTATCAAACTTTCGGATTTCATGTTGTTTTTATTTGATGATCATGCTGTATGAAGGTGGCTGTAAATTGAAAGTACCCATTTCCTGCAAAATTCTTCTGTTCTCTTCTTCCTTTCACTGTTTTGTTTAATCATTTACTGCATTTGTGGTACTCACTACTTGTTAGTTGGGAAATTTCCCTAAGTAGGAGTATAACATTGTGGTATTCCATAGTAAGAGTACTACCCCCCCCCCCAGAATAGGAGTAAATTATTACTAACATGAAACCATACTACCATATTTTGGCAGTACCAAACAGTAATATGGCAGTATTAATGCCTTAATGGGCAGACTGGTGGTACTTTTGAATCATGTCAGCAATTACATCTATTTTGGAAAAAACATAACACTTCTATTTTGGAATATTCATGGTTTTTGCTCCTATTTAGGGCAATTTCTATTGTTTACATTACCAAATGTTATTCTTTGTACCGTTTTAGCATTTGTGTACTGGAAGGTGGTTTTATGAAATGTCACAAATGAAATTATGATTTTTGGAATGTTCAGACAATCTCACTAGTAAGAGGTCAAGTAGCTAATCCCACACTTTACTTTGCTTACAGATTTTTCTACCAACTATTGTCATGCTGTTGCTGATAGCCGTGCGAAGAGAGTCTGATACTCAAATCCATCCAGCACAGCCGTATGAATCCCATCAACCATATTTGGATATGTCTAGTTTTTTATTTGAGTTTTTTCTTGTATAATTCATACAAAACATTGTAAAAGACAACATCTAGTGCTTTTTCCTATATCTTGCGGTAGAGTAAAACACATTTATTCTGCCCCAGTAATTTCTCTATTGGGCTGCACGTACAACCATGACATGAGATCTTATTCAGTTATAATTGACCATGATGAAAAGCTTTCTGTGCTCAATTGTTTTTTGATGGTCCGAAAGAACCTCATTTCATTATATTGGAAATTTCGAAATGATATGCAGTTATATTCGGATGGGGATGTTTACAGAAATAGGAAAAGGTGATAAGTCTGCAACTTTCAACCAAATTTTGGAACTTTTGATGGCCAAGAATGAGTATCTGGCTTTTGCACCAGATACAAACGCGACTAGGATGATGATCAATATTCTCTCCCTTAAATTTCCTCTGCTTCAGGTAATTCGTATCTTATGTCTAATTCTCTCTCATCTTACGGCCTTTCCCTACTACGTTTCCAGTAAACCAAGTACCAACATGTTAGTTTAGTTTCCTCTGCTCACCGCTGTTCTTGACTTACTTTGCAATTGAATTTGTTTGTTAAGAGCTTCTGAACTAGTCTTAAAGTTCTAATGCATGAAGCTTTGCGTCCAGGGTATACTCACAACACATTGTAGCAACTTTTCCATTATTTGTAATGCATATATACACATACTATATAAAGTTATATCTATACATCGTAATATTTTATCACTTGCCAAAAACAAACATCCCCAACAACATCAATTGTTTTATGATGTCCATAAGAGAGGAAATACCTGATTGATCTTGGACTTTATTTAGCAAATATAAATGTCAAAATTGAATATTAGTATGCCTATTTCAGGAATTTATATACCAAGATTGCCTAGGGCATTTTTTAATTCTCAGGTCACTCTTCTTTCGTGGTAATTTTGGTTTATTTTCTATTTACAGCTTGTTACTAGAGTTTACAATGATGAAGAAGAGCTGGAAACATATATACGGTCATATGATTATGGGACTTGTGATCAGAAGTGAGTAATGTTTCAAGCTGTTATTTTCTAATGCTGTGTAGATGTGGCTATCTATTGGTACAATGAAGTGCAAGTGTGAGCGCAACTTAATGTTTCCATTCGTTGCCTTTGCCTCTATATTATTATTGTGGGGGTATTTTTGTTTTTTCCTTTTGTTGCTGCTGTAATTATATACTCCCTCTGTCTCAATTTGATTTGCAAAATTTGCTATTGTGGTTGTCCCAAAATAATTTTCTACTTTCTATTTTAGGTATTGAAAGATCAATAAAGTGACAAACTTACCCTTACTTTTACGGTTTTACCCTTTTCTCATTTACTTAAATACTTCTACGTTATGGGAGAAAGGGCAAAACTGTAAAGCAAAACTTAATTTATTACCTTCCATAATTCTTGTGCCAGTAAACTTTTGCAAATCAAATTGGGATGGACAGAGATCAAGTTAGGGTCAATCACACAATGGTCAAGGAAAGGGTCCTCTCCACCCATTTAATGTCCAAACTCGTCAATACCCTGGCTTGCTTTTGCCACCTTAGTATAACCATATTAGGCTGTCTACGGATATATCTATCATTCAACAGCATTGGAAACTCAAACAACCATCCAGTTTCTTAGTCTCTTTCTTTGCACATTGATGGTTTTTTCTCAACCCAGACAGAACTTACTCCCTAAACACTTGCTAGTAAGGAATCACAAAAAGAAGTAAAAATTGAAACAGGTTTACCCCAGATCTCTTTAACTGCTTCTTTCATCAGTCACCACTATCTTGTTATTATTGTTTTACTTAATATCTATTCATGTCTTAGTGTCTTACACGTGTAAACACATACATGCAAGTAATTTTAGAAAAAGTAATTTTTTAGGGTAGTGAAGGTAAGCAGAGTTGAGTATGCTTGGATGCACTAAGATACAAATGCGAATCTGAAGTTTTATCGATGATGCTTGGCTGTATGAGAAAGAAAACAAAGGCCGACTTTGTAGTTTGTTGTTGAAGATAAGAAATGCAGATATGCAAGTTTATTGGATTGATAGTAGTTTTATTGGTTCAAAGACCCCTAGTGTAATTTCATACTAAATTGGCCATTGAGAGTTCAACAAATTCGTAGAAAGAATGAGGAAGTTGAGGACTGAGGAACCCAGGGATAGGACGAAGAGTTGGTTGTGGCCTGTAGGACCCTTTATTTCCATGAACCTAGGATTGGTTTCTTTTGAGGTGGGAAAGTCAAGGCCATAGATTGGAGGATTGTGGAAGTAAAGGGTCTGTAGACTGGAGAGGTACCTTCCTAACTTTTCCAGGTCTGCACATGCTTGATTGTAAAAGATGATACTCGACATAGTTGATCTTTTCTCAATTCCTATTATAATATACCTCGCTTGGTGTATCATATTCATCCTCAATCTTCTGATCAGATACATGTTTGTTTATACTTTATACGATAAGTCCTTGCTTTTGAGTTACATACTACTCCCTCCGTCTTCCTATCTTTGTCCCGTTTTACCCTTTTCATCTGTCCCATTAAGTTTGTCTCATACCATATTTGGTGATATTTGGGTGGTTACAATTCATTCTTACTTTATTTACACTATGAATTCGATACCAACCACACAATTTCACTTTTCTTAAAAACCGCACCACACCCTCTTTTCCCAATCTTAGGGGGACGGAGGTAGTAACATATATTGATAGAACTTCCGCAATTCCAGAATCATTCACCGAGAATTAAGAACAAAGTAAAGAAAACTGAATTTTACTCAAAGCAGGTAAACCGTACAGAGTAGTCCCAAAGAAGGAGATAGACTCCAACTTCCCAGTCCCAGTCCAATCCCAATTTCTGCCCCCTTCTCCTCTTTCCCCACTTCCCACTCTTATAATAAGGCTACCCTCAAGGGCTGGCCCAAAATCATAACATAAATGGCCCAACAACCTTATTTGAACACTATTACATTATTTATTATAATTCTATTATTCTTATTATTATAGGCTGTCTATGTCCCTATCATATCTCCCCCCTTGAACAACCACCTTGTCCTCAAGGTGGGTGATAGGAAACAGCCTTGTTGACCTTCAACATCTTCTTCATACGAGCGCCTCTTCCTTCCCAATATCTCGCAGTTTGTTGAATCAGAAGCTTCAGTACTTGTACCTCCAAAATCACAGATGTTGCGGCTGCAGAAGATATGTCGTGTGCAGTTTCATTTGTTGCAGTGGCCTTCAAGCACTTACTGGCTACAATTAATTCCTCTTTTTCAAAAAACTCCTCAAGGACTCTTACTTCTGGAGTCATCAGTGAGTTGGATGCAGATTTGAGGTTGCTCAAATTACTCAATTCACTGTCTACAACAAGCCTTATGCAAAATAAGTTGTGCACCACAGTACTGCCATGCGATGTCAGATTCTCCAACCGTCAAAGTCCCAAGTCTGGGAAGTTTTCTTCTTTCCTTTCCCTTATAAGAGAGCCAATAGCTCTTGCAGCAACAGAATGAGCTTCAGGGACTGGTTCCTGATGAACTTCGGTCAGAATACTCAAGAACATATTGGTTTCCCGATTCTTAAGAGTGATGACCGCCCCAAACTCCTGTATTTTATGAACATGTCCTTCAATATTGCTACCAAGAGCAGACTCATCAGTCCATCTCAGTACAGAATCAGAGGAGTCCTGAATTGCAGAAAATACCACATTGCAGCCTTCCACATCCAGAACCGAAAGCTGTTCAACTTTAAAATCAGGCTTCAAGATAGACTTCATCAACCCAACCTTATCAATAAAATCAATGGATGTATCTGGAAGATATCTATCACTCTTGTCTCTAGCTGAAAGTTGCACAGCAGCTGTTATGGCCTCATAAGTATATTTATACTTACTATACTCATCATTCCACTGCTGAGGTTTGCTCGTATAACCTCCTTTTTCCTTCCATTCCTTCCTGTCTTCATCTCTGAACTTCAAAACAGTGCCTACCAGTTTAATGCTAATCATTAGTATGATTAACTTTTGAAACCATTCTGGATGAATTCTTCTAGTCAGTGTCTTCTGCAGAGGATTCCATGTATAAGCAGTTGTCTGCTCCTTTTCCCCGGTAAACCCATTCACTGTGATTTCCTCAAAATAAGTTGATTTCCTCTTTCATATTCATTTGCCTGATTACAGGTTCAGTTAGTTCCATCTGTGTCTTCTTTATTGACTGTTTTTCTGTCCTCCCTGTCTTCTGCCGGTGTTTAGGTGGAAAATCCCAAATCAAGTCTTCCTTTAGAGCATTCCAACTATCTTCTCTCTTATGAAAATCCCACCAATGAAACCAGCCATCTGCTTCTTCCCCCATGGCCTTCGCTGCCACGTCCACTTTAAATCTTTCTGCAATAGCTTGGACTCGGAAATATCTTTCCATCCTCCCAATCCATTCATATGCTTCATGCTCGTAGAATAGAGGTAATTCCTCCTTCTTTGAAATAGCAGATTTCCGAGAATTGACTTTTGATGAGGAAGGTGAACTGTGAGAATCCTTTGGAGACGAATATGATGATTTTCCACTCCCTAGCTTCTTTCTTGAACGCATATTGATATCTGAGGAGTCAGTCTGCGAGTAAAGAGAAATTGTTCGCGTCTGTGAATAGTGATCGGAAGTTCGCGAGTGCGAGCCAAAATAAGTTGTTCGCGATCGCGAACTGGAAGATGAGGTTCGTGACTGTGAAATATGAGAAGTTTGCGATTTCATCTGTGAATCCGTTGGTGATAGCGGCTCATGGCTGAAGTTCCTCGATTGATCTCCAGGTCTTCTGCGAAGACTCTGTTCTTCCGATTCCTTTGAGTCAATCGGATGTTGCGTACGTCGATGAAGAGAGTCGCGATGCGACCTGTGCGATTTGTGCGATCGATTCCGTGAACAATTTTTAAGTCGGTTCTGCAATTCTGCGATGCCAGCTTGCATCGTCGCTTGCATATCAGCCATCATCGTCGCTAACCTAGCGTTTGACTCCCTCATTAGTCGGTCAATATTATCAAAACTCTGTTCCATTTGAGGTGTCATGTAGAAATCCTCCTCCATGCTTCAGATTCTCCGTCTCCAGGAAGTAAGGCTCTGATACCAATGATAGAACTTCCGCAATTCCAGAATCATTCACCGAGAATTAAGAACAAAGTAAAGAAAACTGAATTTTACTCAAAGCAGGTAAACCGTACAGAGTAGTCCCAAAGAAGGAGATAGACTCCAACTTCCCAGTCCCAGTCCAATCCCAATTTCTGCCCCCTTCTCCTCTTTCCCCACTTCCCACTCTTATAATAAGGCTACCCTCAAGGGCTGGCCCAAAATCATAACATAAATGGCCCAACAACCTTATTTGAACACTATTACATTATTTATTATAATTCTATTATTCTTATTATTATAGGCTGTCTATGTCCCTATCATATATTGACAAACATGTAACTTTCCTCAAAGTGGGGCTGGTAAAAGAAAATAACAGGCACTCGGGTAATGTTGAACAGACAAAATGCAATTGCGGTGACTGTGTGAACCCAAGTCACAAGTTCTAGAGAGGAAACCTTTCTTTCTTGCAGATTTTTGGTGCATGTAAATGATGGGTTGAGGTGGTGTTTCAATACTATTTACGTGTATTTTTCTAGAATATTCAGTAACTTTAAAGCGTTGTCTTTCAGTTGGGCCAAAATGTTCTCCCAGGAAACTTTTGACACAAATAAATCTAGGCTTTTCCTTCTATTAATTTTGAAATATGATGATCTCGAATTCCTACTAATGCTCTTCTTTACCTGATTGCTATGTATTTTACATGTTCCCTATATTTCTGAACTCCTATGTCCCAAAATAAACCCCCCATTTGCTTTTGGTACGAAGTCTTAGGAGCCCATAACTTTAAAAGGTGAGGTCAGAGGCAAAGTTATTCAAGGAAAACTGACCTTTTTGGAAAGGCTATGTTTATTTTGGGACAACCAACCATGAAAATGAGAAGTTTATTTTTGGGACGGAGGGAGTATTTTCAAACTCTGTATTAACTGTAGTTCTCGTTTTTCCCGTCTTTGTTTGTGTAGGAATTGTACGAATCCAAAAATTAAAGGAGCCATTGTATTTCACGAGCAAGGCCCTGAAGTTTTTGATTATAGTATACGCCTAAACCATACATGGGCGTTCTCAGGATTTCCTGATGTTAAAACCATTATGGACACAAATGGCCCTTTTCTTAACGACTTGGAATTAGGCGTGAATCCTATACCCGTTCTGCAATACAGCCTAAGTGGTTTTTTCACTGTATGGATTTTTATTGTGCCATCTTGTTACTTATACTCCGTATATGCTTAGAAGTATAAGGAAATCATAATATTACAATGATGTTGTAAATTTTGTGCTAGTGTGCTCGAATGGCATGTTTCTGAGTTGTGCTTCAAGTTTGTTGTTTATACTGCTTCAAGATTTTGGGGTCAGCTGTTTATATTGGTTTGACGATCTATAAAAATACAGTGACAATAATGGAGATTTTTTAATCATTTTCTGAATATGATCTTAGCTAAACTGCTCCACTCTGGGTGCCTTGAAATGGATTCAAGCAATTATGTTGTAATTCTCAAATGCCTATGAATAAGATTGAAATCATCTATGCCTCATGGGTGACCTGTTTTTTTGCAAGTATGGTTTTGAGATTATTGAGCACTCTTGTATTTCCACTACTTCACTTTAAGTTGCAGTAAGAAAGAAGTCATATTAATTTGTGTTTTGTTCTTATTTTACAGATCCAACAAGTCATGGATTCATTCATTATATATGCTGCTCAACAGACTTTGACAAACTCATCACTCATGCAATGGGGCTCCTCTGCTACATACTCTCCTGTCAAAATAAATTGGACCCAGTTTAGTCCTTCAAACATAAGAATTGCTCCATTTCCAACTCGTGAATATACTGATGATGAGTTCCAGTCCATAGTCAAGAAAGTGATGGGAATTATGTATGAATTTCTTTCTTTCTCTGGGTTTTTTGTTTCAGTTCTCTATTTCCACTTCAGTTTTTCTGGTTTAGCTTGACTTTTATCATGGAGAGTTTATTCAGTTGCATATCATTCAATCAATAGGTACTTACTGGGATTTCTCTATCCAATCTCCCGTCTTATAAGTTATTCTGTCTTGGAAAAGGTAAACATTTAATAATTTTCTTTGCTCCAGCACTTATTTTGAGTTTACAGTTTTTAAAATAAGGGAAAATTGCTGACATGAAAAGTTCTTAGCTGAATGCCCATAACTATTAATTCTTTAGGAGCTGAAGATTAAAGAAGGCCTATACATGATGGGGCTCAAGGATGAGATATTCCATCTCTCTTGGTTCTTGACATATGCCGTGCAGGTGATGTTTCTTTCTGTTAAAGAAAAGAGTTCTGTTACATATATCCATCCAATTGCTCCCCCCTCCTCTCAAAGGTAGAAAGCGGACAGGAAATTTTAATTGGAATAATTGAAAACAGAAATAAAATTGTATAGGATAAATTGTACCTGCACGTGTGCATCCATCCACACACAGTAGAAGAATGGATGCCAATGTGGCCAAATTGTTTGTGCGTGATACAGGGTCTGCTCTAGGATTTTAGAGGCCCTAGGTGAAAAAACTCTTGATTTTAAGAAATCATATTAATGTACTACGTAATATTTATTTGTAACATAAAGTCGGAAAAACTGAGATAAATTGAGAAAATGACATGTATATTAATAACAGAGTTTTCCGAGACAAAAATATGACTAGTTATGTTTTTGGACAAAAATATGACTAGTCACTGTGTACGAGTCACTGTGAACTAGTCACTATAGTGTATTTTGGAATGATAAGTCACTGTAGAGTCACTGTGAACTACTCACTAAGAGCCCGTTTGGTGACCCCTTTTTTCGGCTTATCAGGCTTATCAGCCAGTTTTTTCACCAAACACTTAACTTTTGATTTCGCGCGTTGAATTTTGTAATAAGCTGAAAAAGTAAGGTTAGAGTTACGTTTATGGCTGTATTGGCTGAAGTTACTGTAGAGGATCATTTTTGCTATTTTTTCATATAATTTTTTGTTTAATTTATTAATAACAAATATTTTAAACACAATTTTTTCATAAATCAGCAAAATCAGCCAATACAGCAACTTCAACCAGAACATCATAAATTTCAGCAGAATCAGCCAATTCAGCCAATTTTAATGTTACCAAACGGGCTCTAAATATGTCACTTTTTTGATTTTTTTAAAATAAGACATATTTTTGTCTTTTGAATTTAATTTAGTAATATTCATGGAAAAAGATCATAAATTGAATGTAAAAATTACATATAAGAAACAAAGCATATCACATATACTCAAAATACACCATGTAATGTGAACGTCAAAATAAAAAAATTCAAATGTAAAGCTATAAAAATGCACCAAAATTATACTAGCACTTTTTAATATTCTCAACACTCTTTCTTTTGGATCACACAGGGTCAAAATTTATGTTTACCTGTCATGAAAATACCTACATATATTTATCTCCCTCCGTCCCTTCAAATTTGACCGGTACGAGAAGTAATAAAGTAAAACCTGTGTGGTTGAGGTTTGTGTAGAGGATAGAGAACTAACTGGAATCAATAATTCTTTACTCAAAAGGGAGAGTGGCAAAGTTAGTAGGACAACCAAAAAAGTAAAGTTGGCAAAGTTTTAAGGGATAGTGGGAGTAATAGAAAAGTCACAAACAATTCAGTTAGCAAAAAACGAAAATTAATAAATACAATATAATTAATAGTGAGAAATTATAATGAGTGTAAATTAAAATTATTATTAGTGGCCACTCCCCACTCAGGGACTTGAGGGATCAGTGGCTGCCTATTGCTGAAGATCGGTGGAAGTTTAGGAGTGCTATCAATTTCAAATTCCAATTACTAAATTAAACATTAAATTTTCATACGAAGTATTAATCATACTTCTTACTCCTATTTTTGAGGCCCTCCCCTGCTGCGAGGCCCTAGGCAAACGCCTAGGTTGACTGACCCCAAAGCCAGGTCTGGCGTGATACATATGGTTTGATTCTTTTTAGAGAATTTTGGAACATGTTTTAATTCATATAGCATTTCTGATGCACACAATCTCGTTTTTATTATCTCCTTCCATCTGATCTAACTTTTGGATCTAGATAAATTGAGAAAAATGACATGTATATTAATAACAGAGTTTTCCGAGACAAAAATATGACTAGTTATGTTTTTGGACAAAAATATGACTAGTCACTGTGTACGAGTCACTGTGAACTAGTCACTATAGTGTATTTTGGAATGACAAGTCACTGTGAACTACTCACTAAATATGTCACTTTTTTGATTTTTTTAAAATAAGACATATTTTTGTCTTTTGAATTTAATTTAGTAATATTCATGGAAAAAGACCATAAATTGAATGTAAAAATTACATATAAGAAACAAAGCATATCACATATACTCAAAATACACCATGTAGTGTGAACGTCAAAATAAAAAAATTCAAATGTAAAGCTATAAAAATGCACCAAAATTATACTAGCACTTTTTAATATTCTCAACGCTCTTTCTTTTGGATCACATAGGGTCAAAATTTATGTTTACCTGTCATGAAAATACCTACATATATTTATCTCCCTCCGTCCCTTCAAATTTGACCGGTACGAGAAGTAGTAAAGTAAAACCTGTGTGGTTGAGGTTTGTGTAGAGGATAGAGAACTAACTGGAATCAATAATTCTTTACTCAAAAGGGAGAGTGGCAAAGTTAGTAGGACAACCAAAAAAGTAAAGTTGACAAAGTTTTAAGGGATAGTGGGAGTAATAGAAAAGTCACAAACAATTCAGTTAGCAAAAAACGAAAATTAATAAATACAATATAATTAATAGTGAGAAATTATAATGAGTGTAAATTAAAATTATTATTAGTGGCCACTCCCCACTCAGGGACTTGAGGGATCAGTGGCTGCCTATTGCTGAAGATCGGTGGAAGTTTAGGAGTGCTATCAATTTCAAATTCCAATTACTAAATTAAACATTAAATTTTCATACGAAGTATTAATCATACTTCTTACTCCTATTTTTGAGGCCCTCCCCTGCTGCGAGGCCCTAGGCAAACGCCTAGGTTGACTGACCCCAAAGCCAGGTCTGGCGTGATACATATGGTTTGATTCTTTTTAGAGAATTTTGGAACATGTTTTAATTCATATAGCATTTCTGATGCACACAATCTCGTTTTTATTATCTCCTTCCATCTGATCTAACTTTTGGATCTAGATAAATTGAGAAAAATGACATGTATATTAATAACAGAGTTTTCCGAGACAAAAATATGACTAGTTATGTTTTTGGACAAAAATATGACTAGTCACTGTGTACGAGTCACTGTGAACTAGTCACTATAGTGTATTTTGGAATGACAAGTCACTGTGAACTACTCACTAAATATGTCACTTTTTTGATTTTTTTAAAATAAGACATATTTTTGTCTTTTGAATTTAATTTAGTAATATTCATGGAAAAAGACCATAAATTGAATGTAAAAATTACATATAAGAAACAAAGCATATCACATATACTCAAAATACACCATGTAGTGTGAACGTCAAAATAAAAAAATTCAAATGTAAAGCTATAAAAATGCACCAAAATTATACTAGCACTTTTTAATATTCTCAACGCTCTTTCTTTTGGATCACATAGGGTCAAAATTTATGTTTACCTGTCATGAAAATACCTACATATATTTATCTCCCTCCGTCCCTTCAAATTTGACCGGTACGAGAAGTAGTAAAGTAAAACCTGTGTGGTTGAGGTTTGTGTAGAGGATAGAGAACTAACTGGAATCAATAATTCTTTACTCAAAAGGGAGAGTGGCAAAGTTAGTAGGACAACCAAAAAAGTAAAGTTGGCAAAGTTTTAAGGGATAGTGGGAGTAATAGAAAAGTCACAAACAATTCAGTTAGCAAAAAACGAAAATTAATAAATACAATATAATTAATAGTGAGAAATTATAATGAGTGTAAATTAAAATTATTATTAGTGGCCACTCCCCACTCAGGGACTTGAGGGATCAGTGGCTGCCTATTGCTGAAGATCGGTGGAAGTTTAGGAGTGCTATCAATTTCAAATTCCAATTACTAAATTAAACATTAAATTTTCATACGAAGTATTAATCATACTTCTTACTCCTATTTTTGAGGCCCTCCCCTGCTGCGAGGCCCTAGGCAAACGCCTAGGTTGACTGACCCCAAAGCCAGGTCTGGCGTGATACATATGGTTTGATTCTTTTTAGAGAATTTTGGAACATGTTTTAATTCATATAGCATTTCTGATGCACACAATCTCGTTTTTATTATCTCCTTCCATCTGATCTAACTTTTGGATCTAGATAAATTGAGAAAAATGACATGTATATTAATAACAGAGTTTTCCGAGACAAAAATATGACTAGTTATGTTTTTGGACAAAAATATGACTAGTCACTGTGTACGAGTCACTGTGAACTAGTCACTATAGTGTATTTTGGAATGACAAGTCACTGTAGAGTCACTGTGAACTACTCACTAAATATGTCACTTTTTTGATTTTTTTAAAATAAGACATATTTTTGTCTTTTGAATTTAGTTTAGTAATATTCATGGAAAAAGACCATAAATTGAATGTAAAAATTACATATAAGAAACCAAGCATATCACATATACTCAAAATACACCATGTAGTGTGAACGTCAAAATAAAAAAATTCAAATGTAAAGCTATAAAAATGCACCAAAATTATACTAGCACTTTTTAATATTCTCAACGCTCTTTCTTTTGGATCACATAGGGTCAAAATTTATGTTTACGTGTCATGAAAATACCTACATATATTTATCTCCCTCCGTCCCTTCAAATTTGACCGGTACGAGAAGTAATAAAGTAAAACCTGTGTGGTTGAGGTTTGTGTAGAGGATAGAGAACTAACTGGAATCAATAATTCTTTACTCAAAAGGGAGAGTGGCAAAGTTAGTAGGACAACCAAAAAAGTAAAGTTGGCAAAGTTTTAAGGGATAGTGGGAGTAATAGAAAAGTCACAAACAATTCAGTTAGCAAAAAATGAAAATTAATAAATACAATATAATTAATAGTGAGAAATTATAATGAGTGTAAATTAAAATTATTATTAGTGGCCACTCCCCACTCAGGGACTTGAGGGATCAATGGCTGCCTATTGCAGAAGGGGTCTGAAGATCGGTGGAAGTTTAGGAGTGCTATCAATTTCAAATTCCAATTACTAAATTAAACATTAAATTATGATACGAAGTATTAATCATACTTCTTACTCCTATTTTTGAGGCCCTCCCCTGCTGCGAGGCCCTAGGCAAACGCCTAGGTTGACTGACCCCAAAGCCAGGTCTGGCGTGATACATATGGTTTGATTCTTTTTAGAGAATTTTGGAACATGTTTTAATTCATATAGCATTTCTGATGCACACAATCTCGTTTTTATTATCTCCTTCCATCTGATCTAACTTTTGGATCTAGATAAATTGAGAAAAATGACATGTATATTAATAACAGAGTTTTCCGAGACAAAAATATGACTAGTTATGTTTTTGGACAAAAATATGACTAGTCACTGTGTACGAGTCTATGTGAACTAGTCACTATAGTGTATTTTGGAATGACAAGTCACTGTAGAGTCACTGTGAACTAATCACTAAATATGTCACTTTTTTGATTGTTTTAAAATAAGACATATTTTTGTCTTTTGAATTTAATTTAGTACTATTCATGGAAAAAGACATAAATTGAATGTAAAAATTACATATAAGAAACAAAGCATATCACATATACTCAAAATACACCATGTAATGTGAACGTCAAAATAAAAAAATTCAAATGTAAAGATATAAAAATGCACCAAAATTATACTAGCACTTTTTAATATTCTCAACGCTCTTTCTTTTTGATCACATAGGGTCAAGTTTATGTTTACGTGTCATGAAAATACCTACATATATTTATCTCCCTCCGTCCCTTCAAATTTGACCGGTACGAGAAGTAATAAAGTAAAAACTGTGTGGTTGAGGTTTGTGTAGAGGATAGAGAACTAACTGCAATCAATAATTCTTTACTCAAAAGGGAGAGTGGCAAAGTTAGTAGGACAACCAAAAAAGTAAAGTTGGCAAAGTTTTAAGGGATAGTGGGAGTAATAGAAAAGTCACAAACAATTCAGTTAGCAAAAAAACGAAAATTAATAAATACAATATAATTAATAGTGAAAAATTATAATGAGTGTAAATTAAAATTATTATTAGTGGCCACTCCCCACTCAGGGACTTGAGGGATCGGTGGCTGCCTATTGCTGAAGATCGGTGGAAGTTTAGGAGTGCTATCAATTTCAAATTCCAATTACTAAATTAAACATTAAATTTTCATACGAAGTATTAATCATACCTCTTACTCCTATTTTTGAGGCCCTCCCCTGATGCGAGGCCCTAGGCAAACGCCTAGGTTGACTGACCCCAAAGCCAGGTCTGGCGTGATACATATGGTTTGATTCTTTTTAGAGAATTTTGGAACATGTTTTAATTCATATAGCATTTCTGATGCACACAATCTCATTTTTATTATCTCCTTCCATCTGATCTAACTTTTGGATCTAGATAAATTGAGAAAAATGACATGTATATTAACAACAGAGTTTTCCGAGACAAAAATATGACTAGTTATGTTTTTGGATAAAAATATGACTAGTCACTGTGAACTAGTCACTATAGTGTATTTTGGAATGAAAAGTCACTGTAGAGTCACTGTGAACTAATCACTAAATATGTCACTTTTTTGATTTATTTAAAATAAGACATATTTTTGTCTTTTGAATTTAATCTAGTAATATTCATGGAATAAGACCATAAATTGAATGTAAAAATTACATATTAGAAACAAAGCATATCACATATACTCAAAATACACCATGTAATGTGAATGTCAAAATAAAATAATTCAAATGTAAAGCTATAAAAATGCACCAAAATTATACTAGCACTTTTTAATATTCTCAACGCTCTTTCTTTGTGATCACATAGGGTCAAAATTTATGTTTACCTGTCATGAAAATACCTACATATATTTATCTCCCTCCGTCCCTTCAAATTTGACCGGTACGAGAAGTAATAAAGTAAAAACTGTGTGGTTGAGGTTTTTGTAGAGGATAGAGAACTAACTGGAATCAATAATTCTTTACTCAAAAGGGAGAGTGGCAAAGTTAGTAGGACAACCAAAAAAGTAAAGTTGGCAAAGTTTTAAGGGATTGTGGGAGTAATAGAAAAGTCACAAACAATTCAGTTAGCAAAAAACGAAAATTAATAAATACAATATAATTAATAGTGAGAAATTATAATGAGTGTAAATTAAAATTATTATTAGTGGCCACTCCCCACTCAGGGACTTGAGGGATCGGTGGCTGCCTATTGCTGAAGATCGGTGGAAGTTTAGGAGTGCTATCAATTTCAAATTCCAATTACTAAATTAAACATTAAATTTTCATACGAAGTATTAATCATACTTCTTACTCCTATTTTTGAGGCCCTCCCCTGATGCGAGGCCCTAGGCAAACGCCTTGGTTGACTGACCCCAAAGCCGGGTCTGGCGTGATACATATGGTTTGATTCTTTTTAGAGAATTTTGGAACATGTTTTAATTCATATAGCATTTCTGATGCACACAATCTCATTTTTATTATCTCCTTCCATCTAATCTAACTTTTGGATCTATTATTATTTTTCCCTAATCATCATTGTGACTGTTGATGCTAGTACCTCCACTCTCTCTTCTTATATGCTGCTTTATAAGAATGAATTTACCCGTATCTCTAATTTCAGTGCTTTCATTTCTTTGGCAGTTTGCAGTATCTTCTATGGTCATTACTCTCTGCACTATGAGTAGCCTATTCCGATTCAGTGATAAATCACTGGTGTTTGCATACTTCTTTGCTTTTGGCCTGAGTGCCATAACACTGTCTTTTCTGATCTCTACATTTTTCACGCGAGCCAAAACTGCAATAGCTGTTGGAACACTTTCTTTCCTTGGGGCATTTTTCCCTTATTACACTGTCAATGACGAGACTATTTCCATGTCAGTCGTTTTGCTATGACAACAATTTTCACCCATACTTTCCCTGCTTGGAATAAAGACCTTCATTTATTACTTGTAGGTTGTTAAAAGTGATGGCTTCATTCCTTTCACCCACTGCCTTCGCATTGGGTTCTATCAATTTTGCTGACTATGAGCGTGCTCATGTGGGACTCAGATGGAGTAATATTTGGCGGGTATTCTCTTCACCCATGCTATGGTCTTGTTTGGTACACACATACATGCACATTGATATTACAAATCCAAAGGACTATACTGATTTGGGGCACAATACTATGGTGGGCTTTAAGACATCAAATTGTAGCCATGTGATTCATTAAGTGCTGTCGTATTTTAATCTTAACTAACATGAGATTAGATGCATAAGTATCAATGGCTTAGACACATTCTCATTTTTCATGAAAATTAAATGAATCAAGAATGATCACAACCATTTGATCTTAAATGTAATGGTCTATATTCAGTCCTATGGATTGGTACTTTTTGTGGTACCTATTGAAACCACAATCTGTATGTAGCTTCATCAGGTACCACAAAAGGTACCCATCCATAGAGACTGAATATGAAACATTAGGTTCAAGATCAAATGATTATGATCTGTTACCCACGCATTTCATTTTTTATTTTAAGAAAGATTACCTATCAGGGAGTGGTACCCATTGAAACCTCTTCTACACACATACTTTGATCTTTTATAATTGTAACAATTTGACTTTTGCACTATTCATATACCCCGCTTGACCACATATTCTTTTAATGCAATACAAAAAAACATGCGGAGTATTATTTACTAGTTACTACTCCCTCTGTCGGTCTGTACCATTTGTTTACTATTCATGTTTTCAACTGAACTTTATTTTAATCACCAATTTTTCACATCAAACTTTTACCATATTTGAATTTATTAAATATGATTCAATAGAAAATGTAGTGTAGTTTCTTAATATATAAATTTCAATTTGAATAGGGAAGGTTTACCTTTATAGTCAGTCAAGCCTTCTTATTCAAGTTAGGACACATAAAATGGGATAGAGGGAGTAATAGATAAATAAATATATTAATGGTCAAAGTTGCTTGTTGGCAAATGTAAAAGTCAAACTGTTGCAACTAAAATAAAATAGAGGAAGCATATATATACGTATGTATGCATATATATATATATATATATATATATATATATATATATATATATAGACCGTTAGATTTTCTTTAAGTGAAATTCGATGTGCATTAGATGAAACTGTAATGTGCATTAAGTGAAATTGAAATGTGCAGCACAAATGGTACGATACAGTGGCATTATGTGAAGCTGAATTGTGCATTAGGTGAAATTGAAATGTGCACTAGGTGAAACTGAAATGTGCTGAAATAAAAGGTACAATGTGATGTTATTTTTGTACCTTTTATTTCGCACATTTCATTTTCACCTAATGCACACTTGAATTTAAACTTTTATTCTGCACATTTCAATATCATCTGATGCACATTTCAGTTTCACCAAATGCATAATCCTGATCCACATAATACAATCCAACGGTCCAGATTCGTTCTCATTTCTCTCCTGAGAGTCCGTTCTTACCGGAACCACTCCCTATATATATACACACAGACACACACACACATATATAGAGTATAGACACACCACATATATAACTTGAGTGTATATACTTCAAGAATGCAGGAGTCTTCAGGAGTTTGCTTTTTGCTCTGTCTCTTGATGATTTTAGTTGACACAGTACTTTATGCTGCTCTTGGTCTCTACCTAGATAAGGTATTTTTGCTAGACTATTTCTTTCTTCTTTGTCATGTAAGTTTGTTGATGAAGAGGAAACTACAACTGCAGTGGCTTGTTACTTTTCCTTCAAAATTGATACTGGTGACACAAACTCAGGAAAAGGCTCATACAGGAAACTATTCAAACGTATTTTGTGAAAGTAGGGAAATGACATGATTTTGAGGTTTTTAAATTATAAATGTGATTATTATAGGTATAAATGTAGTCCGTCTAACTCATGAAATCCAAGATATTTCTAAGAAACTGAAAACAATTACAATTGTCTTGTCTCAATGACTTTACCTAGATAAAAGCCATAGTCACATGGTTCGCGGTACGGTTCGATACGGGAACGAGGAACGGGAACGCGGTTCGCTAGATCTAGCGTATCCGATTCGGAGGGGGGTAGGTTCATTTCGGTACGCGTTTGGTACGATGTACCATATGTTCGGTACGTTGTACCTAATTTTTTGGTACTATAATAAAAATACAAAACTGAATTATAGAATACAGATTTCAGCATTGAACAAAAACGGATTTCATAACATATATTCATAACATTAATCAAAAGCAAAAACATTAATATTCAAGAAACATTTCAAGCAAAACAGAAAAACAGTACTACAATCATTGATTTAAAGTTCAAACAAGAAAAGTACATGACTAATCAACTCGAGGTCTCTTTCCTTTCCCCTTGTCCACGTCTTCATCTTCTAGATTCTCCCAAGCCATTTCTTCGAGTCTTGAACTTGAGCCTTCTATGTATGTGCTCTCGGGATTGATGTCCCAATATTTGTGTGGACCGGCTTTATATGATTCTGAAAACCGTGACTGGAGTCGAATATTGGAGTGAATGAAAACCAATTTGTCGGCTCTTTTGCAATTCAACCGGTTTCTCTTCACACTATGAATGTAGGAATATGTACTCCAATTTCTTTCAGCCGAAGAGCTACTAATCGGTTGTGAAAGCACCTTCTTTGCTACTTCAGCTAATTCCGGTGTTTCAGCTCCATAGGTTGACCACCAATCAATTGCAGCCATTGTCACGGAATCCGCTTGTGTTGCCACCATTGAATGTATCCCCTTCTTCATATGGAATGTAGCAAATTGCTCTCGTAATAGCCTTTCCTCTTCTGGACTTTCTGCAATTCTCTTGAAAGCTTCCATTACACCAAGCACAACCTCTTTATCTTGATTCGGTGCCTTTCTTGCAATACCACCCGGAGCCAATTTTTCAAGATAGAATTTATCGTAAAACCTTGGGTTTAATGCAAACCCCAAACAGTGAAGTGGGATTGTCATCTTCTCCCATCTAGCTACAATTATTTTCTCAATATCCGGGTAATAGCAAGAATATACATTATCCACCATGATGTCCTTTATTTCCCCCAACATATTATCCATCCTTTCATATATTTCACCCATTTTTGGGCCATCACCATCACAAAATTTTATAAGTAGAAAAATCGGCTTAGTAATTGTCAAAACATTCCTAACATCATCCCAAAAATCATCACTCTTAATAGTTTCAGCAACATTAGTCCCATTAATTCTTGCATTTTCATCTCCACTTCTCACCCATTCCCTCCAAGAATTGCAAAAAATAGTTGAGGAAAGAGCCTCCTTACAATCCATCACCCTTTTTAACAAAATGTAATGAGATGCAAACCGGGTTTTAGCAACCTTTAACAACTCCAACCTTGAGTTTTCACGAAAGATGGCTAAAGCATGGGTATGGTTAATAAAATACTTGACAATTGTCTTGCCTCTTCTATTTTGTAAGCGATCGGAAACTCCTGCAGCAGCGTTTTAAATCGTGATCCGAACAGCGTTTGGAACGCTTTCGTACCGCATTTGGGTACAAGGCGTTCGGAACGCAGTTCGCGGCTATTTCAACGATTTATGTTTCTATGATAAAAGCTAAGGAGGTCATATGTGTGTGTGATCAGGTTCTTAGTAAGGAGAGTGGATGGCACTTCCCATGGAATTCTACATTCCTGAAATCCTTTTGGAGGAAAAATAATGCTAGAGAACTTCTTTCTTCAACCACAGAGTTCAGTTTACCTGACAACTCAGTTATGGAAAGCACAAATTTACATGGACACGTGATAAATAAACTAGTTATGGAACCCATCAGCTTGGAAATGAAACAGCAAGAAATTGATGCCCGGTAATTTTGCATGTTATCACTAAATGGAATTCCTTAATTTAGTTGTGTGTGCACACTGCACTTCATACAAGTATTAAACTGTACAATTATGCTTATTTTACGTGATTGCAGATGTATACAGATCAGGAATCTGCAGAAGGTGTACAGTACTGATAGGGGAAACTGTTCTGCTGTTAAGTCCTTACAACTGACCTTATATGAGAATCAGATTCTTGCTCTTTTAGGTAGCTGTAATCATTATATTCTCTGACCTGCTGAGCTAACATCTGATGAATATATAGTTGGTTTTTTCATCAGCATTATCATGATCGCCTTAATTGTAATTATGTTGGGGTAGGCGACATGGAAGTGTCATTTAATTGTCTAAAATTATTGCACTCTGAAACTATTCATGCAAAAACACATATTGGCCAAGTTTTCGATGGATACCCTGCTGCAACTTTCTTATGAAGGAATAATGAGATGAATTTCAGAACTGTCATCAGAAAAGCTATTTCCACTTGAATGTAGTGTATCATTAGACATTGAGACTACTGTTATAGTCATGTTCCATTTCTTGAAGTTTGATCTACTATTCGAGATTCAGCTGAACACAATTTCAGTCTTTTAGCCTAATTTTTTAAGTTATCTAGTTGCATGCTTAGATTTTTGTGGTTTCCATATTTAATTGTTTTGAAGGACACAATGGAGCTGGTAAAAGCACAACACTATCTATGCTTGTTGGTCTTCTTCGTCCTACTTCTGGGGATGCTTTGATTTATGGAAAAAACATTTTAACTGATATGGTAATAAATTTACGTTTTTTCTTTATATGTTTTATATTATTCTCGTGTGGTAGGGAAATAGCTTGTTGGCTCTATTTGAAGTTCCGAGTTTCTTGCCTATTTTTATTTTTCATTTTTCTTACAAGTCGTATGTTTTGCAGGAAGTGATACGGAAGAGCTTGGGCGTTTGTCCTCAATATGACATTCTTTTTTCAGAATTAACTGTAAGAAAAGTTTTGCTTGATGTCTCTAGTGCTATACCTACTACCTGGCTCTTCCTCTTCCCTCCACTCGTTGCCTTCCTATTGGCCCTTTTATATCCACGTTTATCTTTTATAAATGGCACAATCCTGTATATTTATCTGAAAGCATTTCCTGAATCTGCATCCCTCGATCCCCCCTCTTACCACATGAAAGGAAAAAAGTGATTGAATTAATTTGTTCAATAATGTAGTGAAGTGCTTCTTGCAAATGGCTGAATGCTAACATGATTGTCAAGAAAGACTTCATAACATTGCCAAGAAAAACTTCATAAAATTGTCGTATTATTGGATTGTTGTGACCCTAATATTAGCATTAATTCGAGTGTGGACAATTAATTGCATTACTGAATCCTGATCAAAGATATGAAGTTGTGAAGTTGAAAATTGTCATTACATCCATGCAACTGAAACTAACAAACAAACAGTTCTTTGTGGTCCTGTTCTAGTAGCTCCACGAGTTTATGCCACTGTGTTTCATGCTCTCTATCAATCATCCTACCATATTTTTCCAGGAAAAGAGTTGAGAAGTTATGAATTATGCTATGAATTTGAAAACTACGATGATCACTTAACATGATTTTATTAGTGACTTTTTGTATGCTATTAACAGTCATTATTTTAGTTATTTACTTATTCTTGTTGTTGCTTACTTTCTATGATATGCATACGCAAATCATGCTTTGTCAACTTTTCTATCCAGGTGAAGGAACATCTGGAAATCTTTGCTAATGTAAAGGGAGTGAGTGAAGATTTGATGGATACTATTGTAATGGACATGGCTGATGAAGTAAGTTATCCCAACTCAGTCTTATGCATGTGCATCACATTCATATTCAGTTCAACTAATGCCTGGCAGGACAACGTGGTGCAAACGTGATAGGACCCCGGCTATTATGACTAATAAGAATAGATATGGCTTAGTCTATCCTAGAAAGAAGTAGTTAAGTAGTTATTAGCGGTTAGTTGTTATGATATAATAACTGCTTAAGGCTGTGGAGTTGGGGACTATAAATAGAATAAACCAGTTAGAAGTTAGGCAGGCTGTTAGATGCTTGGCTTGGGACTGGGGAGTTAGAGTTCTATCTCTAGCTTTGGGACTATTGTACTGTATACCGCCATTAATGAAGTTTGGAGTTTGTTTCTAGTTCGTTCTGTCTATTGTGGATTGCGAACTGTTCTTATCATTGGTATCAGAGCGCGTTTGATCGCTGGATGACCGTGACGCGCGCGAAGATGGAAAGCAGAATGACGGAAATAGAGAGGAGTCAGCGGGAGATGCAAGCAAGCATGGAGAGGAATTTGCGAGAGATGCAGGCAAATTTTACGATCGCATTGACGACGATGCAAGCTAGTTTAGCTGAAATGCAGAACAGGACCTATGAGAGATCACAAAGTCGTTCGCACCAGTCGAATACTTCACGTCGATCGGATCAGGGGAGACACACGAAGCAGGATGATAGTTCGGAAGATTCAGAGACAAATTCCGATCACTCTGCCTTGCATCAGGATCGCGATCATCATAGGCGACAACGAAATCCAAATAAAGCTGGACGGAAAATTGATTTGCCTATTTTCAACGGAGAGGATGCTTTCGGTTGGTTGGTGTGGATGAATCGCTACTTCAGATTGAATCAGACTGATGAGAGAGACAAAGTTGACATGGCAGTTCTGGCAATGGAGGATCAGGCTCTGAGTTGATTCCAATGGTGGGAAGGACATGCTCGCCATATGAACTGGGAGACTTTTACGAAGGATTTGACTAAACGCTTTCAACCAGAACTGGTACAAGATCCGTTAGGACCTTTGTTCAGTTTAAAGCAGAGAGGAACTATGAAGGATTACAGGGACAAGTTTGAAACTGCCATAGCCTCCCAGGGACATTTAACTGAGGAGGTTCTGAAAGGCGTTTTCCTTAAGGGATTGAGAAGGGATATCAGGGCTGAACTGAAGTTGTATACTACCAGAACCTTAGCTGAGGTTATGGATCAAGCTTCTCTTATTGAGAACAAAAATAATGAAGCTATGTTGATGAAGAACAAAGAAGAAGGAAAGAAAAAGGGGCTAAGTAAGAGCAATAGTTCATATTCTCAAACAATTTGGGGTGATGGAAGCAGATGGAAAAGTATTCCTAACAATCACTCTAACATGCCAAAGAGTAACTCTGATTACAGAAGCAACACTGAAACAAAGGCACCTAATATGAGTAAATCTGGTCCAAGATTATCCAGGAGTGAGCTACAAGAAAGGAGTAGGAGAGGCTTGTGTTTCAAATGTGGAGAGGACTGGAGCAAGGGTCATATCTGTAAGATGAAGAACTATAAGCTGATTCTAGTGGAACAATCTGAAGGAGAAGGTGAATCTGAAGGGGAATTACTGGAATCTGAAGAAGAGGAAGACACTCTTAAACAACTTAAAACAATGCAACTTTCTGTTTTAAGTAAGGAAGGCATTCCGTCAATGAGAACATTCAAGGTGCAAGGGGTATTGAATTGGATTGAGGGGAAACAACCTGTGAACATTCTGATTGATAGTGGAGCCACACACAATTTCATAGCACAGGGTTTCATTGATAGGTGGAAGGTACCTTTTATGCCTATACAGGGATTTAAAGTACAAATTGTGAAAGAAACAAGTATCAAGCCTTGAAACCTGCAGGGTTGTTACAACCATTACCTATCCCAGATTGCATTTGGACTGATATAAGCATGGATTTTATTGGTGGACTGCCAAAAGCTCAAGGAAAAGACACTATTCTGGTGGTGGCTGACAGATTAACAAAATTTGCACACTTTATAGCCTTGTCTCATCCTTATAATGCTAAAGGAGTAGCTGAAGTGTTTATCAAAGAAGTGGTTAGACTCCATGGATTTCCAAAGACCATAGTGAGTGACAGAGACAACATCTTCTTGAGTTCTTTTTGGTCAGAACTATTTAGACTGGCTGACACACAATTGAGATACAGTACTGCGTACCATCCTCAATCTGATGGACAGACTGAGGTTGTTAATAGGTGCTTAGAGACCTATTTGAGATATCTTACAGGGAAGAAACCTAAGGAATGGACCAAATGGTTACCTTGGGCAGAGTACTGGTACAACACCAATTACCATATTTCCTTGAAACAAACTCCTTACCAGGCTTTATATGGCCAAGAACCTCAACCAATTTTCAAAGGAGATGTGGTTATGACTGCTATTGATGAAGTGTCAAGATTGACAGCTGAGAGGAATGGAATGTTAGCAGAAATCAAAGAAAATTTGGTTATTGCCCAGAATAAGATGAAGCAGCAAGCTGACAAACATAGGATAGAGGTGAAGTTGGAGGTAGGTGAAAAGGTTTTTCTGAAAATTCAGCCTTATAAATTGCAGAGTTTGGCTAAGAGAATTAATCAGAAATTGAGTCCAAGGTTTTATGGACCCTTTGAGATCATTGAGAAGTTGAATGATGTAGCTTTTAAATTGAAATTGCCAGATCAATGCTTGATACATCCAGTGTTACATATTTCTTTACTCAAGAAAGCTCTAGCTTCCAATACTTCTTGTCAACCATTGCCTAAGTGTTTGAATGAGAACTGGGAATTGCTGGTGACTCCAGAGAAGGTGGTGGATACAAGGAAGGGAACTGATGGCAGCACTGAAGTTTTGATACAGTGGAAAGACCTGCCAGAATTTGAAAGGTCCTGGGAAGATGCTCAAGTGTTGAAGACACAGTTCCCAGACTTCAAGCTTGAGGACAAGCTGGTTTTTCAGGAGGGGAGTAATGATAGGACCCCGGCTATTATGACTAATAAGAATAGATATGGCTTAGTCTATTCTAGAAAGAAGAAGTAGTTAAGTAGTTATTAGCGGTTAGTTGTTATGATATAATAACTGCTTAAGGCAGTGGAGTTGGGGACTATAAATAGAATAAACCAGTTAGAAGTTAGGCAGGCTGTTAGATGCTTGGCTTGGGACTGGGGAGTTAGAGTTCTATCTCTAGCTTTGGGACTATTGTACTGTATACCGCCATTAATGAAGTTTGGAGTTTGTTTCTAGTTCGTTCTGTCTATTGTGGATTGCGAACTGTTCTTATCAAAACACTTGAATTTACTGATTTGAATGAAATTGCTTGAGAGAAACTACTCTCAGCAAGTCTTTATTTATAAGGCAAATAATTACAAGGAAAGAATCATATGCACATCAATCAGTAATTAATTCCTGATTTGATACAATCTGTACAATAAATACTAAAATCAGGAAGGAAGTCATATCAAATCTCAACACTCTCCCTCAAGCTGGTGCGTAGATATCATATGCATCAAGCTTGTCACAAATATATCTTATCCTCGGACCTCGAAGTGACTTAGTGAGAAAATCAGCTAACTGATCATTTGAATTGACAAAGAATGTGAAGATTTCTCCAGAAATGACTTTTTCACGAATAAAATGGCAATCGATTTCTATATGTTTTGTTCGTTCATGAAAGACAGGGTTAGAAGCGATGTATAAAGCTGCCTGATTATCACAGATCAGTTTCATAGGCTTCAGTTTGCAAAACTTTAACTCAGACAATAACTGTTTCAGCCATATAAGTTCGCAAGTAGTGAGAGCCATGGCTTGATAGTCGATACTCTGCTTCGGCACTTGATCTAGCGACAACACTCTGTTTCTTGCTCTTCCAAGAGATTAGGTTTCCACCAATGAGAACACAGTACCCTGAAGTTGATCTCATGTCATTTGGACAGCCGGCCCAATCCGCATCTGAATATGCGGTAATATTGTCACAACCCCGGTTCGCATAAACCAGTCCTCTTCCAGGTGAACCTTTGATGTATCTTAGGATTCGAACAACTGCATCCCAATGACTATCACATGGCTTATTGAGGAACTGACTAACCACGCTCACGGCAAAGGAGATGTCTGGTCGGGTCATAGTGAGATCATTTAACTTCCCCACAAGTCGTCGATATCTTTCAGGATTGGAGATGGGCTCTCCCTGATCTGGAAAATGTCGAATATTTGGATCAATTGGAGTATCGATCGGCTTACAACCTGTCATCCCGGTTTCCTTCAAAATATCAAGAGCATATTTTCATTGGGATATGGCAATGCCAGTTTTGGATTGAGCTACCTCAATACCAAGAAAGTAACGAAGTCGTCCCAAATCTTTTGTTTGAAATTGTTGGGACAAGTATAGTTTAAGATTCTGTATGCCATCATGATCATCCCCTGTAATTACAATAGTTTAAGATTGCAGGATAGATTAGGGACATGAAGGACTTTGGATAGATTCAGCGATGAGGAAATACTAATATTTCCCATCCCTGCAATGGATGATAGAGAACCATCTATAACCTTAACCTTTTTATCCCCTGCACTAGGTTTATATGAAGAAAAAAGATTTGAAATAGAAGTCATGTGATCAGTAGCCCCTGAGTCAATAATCCAGGTATTTTTAGATTTCCCAGAACAAAAAATGATGAATAGGTACCATTTTGGGCATAAGAACAAGAGGAAGATTCTGGTTTGGATTCTTTCTGGGAATTTTGGGTTTTCTGGGAATTAAGGAAGTTAAGAAGTTGCCCTATCTGCTCCTGAGTGAATGAAAGCTGATTGAACTTGACTTGTGGTTCTTGTTGAGTCTCAGTCACAGTTGTTTGTAGGGCCTTCTCAGTTTTGTAGGAACATGTAGACCCTATCATTTTCCTCCCTTTTTTGGTGTCTTGCTAGATCCTTGGCACTCTCCCACTTCTCATTAGGGGTGGGCGTGGTTGGTTAACCGTGTTTTGGTTAACCAACTTTCCGGTTAACCGAGAAACCTATTACTTCGGTTAACCGATACTCGGTTAACCAAAACTTCGGTTAACCACAAACCGGTTAACCAAAAACCATCAAACCATTGATTAAATATATACACACACCATGTTCTTTCTATATTAATTAAGTCCAAACTAGAGAAAAATAAATTTTGAGAGTGGAATACAGGAAAAGATAAAATACACTTAATAAGAATAAACGTGTTCAATTGCTTCAAAAAAAGAATACACATGTTCAAGTCTCACGATTGCAGAATGAGCTAATTAATTATAACTCACAAAAGCTTTGACTAATTATTAATAATATGAAATTAAAATTTCTATAGTGACAAACATAATTTGGTTTCTTCACATGTTTATTATAATTGATGTATCTAGATGTGTTGGATACATATTTATCTTTCCAAGTTCTCTGAGAACGTGAAGTTCATGACCAGACATGAACATACCGGTTATTGGTTAACCGATAATAACATATTTCTAAAATCGTAACCGTACCGCGAACCGTTTATTCTCACGGTTGGTTAACCGTACCGTGGATTTAAAAAATTGCGGTTCGGTTAACCGGGAAAAACGGCGGTTTTCCGGTTTTTAGGCGCGGTTATACGGTTACGATTTTTTATGCCTACCCCTACTTCTCATCATCATGGCACTGATCCAACTTTTGACATAGGGATACCATCTCATTATAGTAAGAGATGATATCTCTATTGCCTTGTTTGGACTGCCACAACTTGGTTTTTAATTCAAAAATCTGAGAAGAGTTCTCAAGATCTGAGTAAGTTTCCTTAATGGAATTCCATACCTCCTTTGCAGTTTTCATGAACATGTGAGGTTTGGCAATTGATGCATCCATTGAACTTAGAAGCCATGCTGTCACCAAGGAATTTTCTGACCTCCAGACACTGTAGCCATCATCACCAGTTTTTTTCTCCTTTATTTCACCAGTGATGTACCCTAGCTTGCCCCTTCCATCAATAGCCAGCTTGACAGACTGTGACCAACAACAACAACAACATCCAAGCCTTAGTCCCAAAAGATATTGGGGTCGGCTAACATGAATCGATACATGATATCACAACCAAAAGGAAAAGAAGGAATAAAGATAAAAAGATAAGCTATTATGAAAAGATCATATAAAAAAGATGAATATATATAGAAATGATAAAATAAAAAGGCTGCAAATAATGCATATATATAAGGATAAAAAAACTAGGAAAAAAAGATGAGGGAAAAAGATTATCAAGATCACTCCTTCACGTGAATACCCGCCCTCCACTTAGTTCTCTCCAAAGTCATGCCCTCATCCAACCCCAGAAGAAGCATATCACTTCGAACTCCCCTAACCCACGTCTGTTTGGGTCTTCCTCTCCCTCTCTTCCCTGCCTCTTCTCCACACATCTCAACTCGCCTAACAGGTGCATCACTCGGCAAACATCATGCACCACGGTATATCGTCTTGAATTGACTTCGTAAGTTCATCCATGACTATGGAAAATAAGAAAGGACTCAAGGCCGATCCTTGGTGCACTCCGATAGTAATAGGGAACTCTTCAGTGCTCCCTACACTAGTACGAACACTTGTAGTACAATCCTCATACATATCCATGATGATGCTGATATACTTGCGTGATATGCCTTTCCTAGTTAAGGCCCACCAAAGAACTTCTCGAGGTACCCTATCATATGCCTTTTCTAAGTCAATGAACACCAAATGCAGATCCTTATGAGCATCTCTATACTTCTCCATAAGTTGACGAAGAAGGTGAATATCCTCAGTTGTTGAGCGACCAGGCATAAAACCGAATTGATTCTCTGAAATCTTCACAGTCCTTCGAAGTCTTTGCTCCATCACTCGCTCCCAAAGTTTCATGGTGTGACTCATAAGCTTAATCCCTCGATAGTTGGCACATTCTTGTACATCACCTTTATTCTTAAATAAAGGGATAAGAGTACTCTTCCTCCAACTCGTTGGCATCTTGTTGTTTCTCCAAATCATGTTGAAGAAACTTGTTAACCACTCGACGCCTCTCTCCCAAACTTCTCCAAGCCTCGATCGGTATGCCATCTGGCCCCATTGCTCTTTTCCGTCCCATCTTCCTCAGAGCTTCTTTAACTTCCGTTGTTTGGATCCTTCTCACAAAATCACGGTTGACCATACAATCTGGTATGGACAAATCGCCGATATCTTGCGTTTTGTTCCCGTTGAATAGTGTATCAAAGTATGACCTCCACCTCTCTTTTATCTCTCCGTCGTCCATTAATATCCTCTGATCAACATCCTTCACACACTTAACTTTTGCAATATCTTGAGTTCTGCGATCACGAAGACGAGCAAGTCTATAAATATCTAGTTCTCCTTCCTTAGAGTCCAACTTTTCATACAACTCCTTGACAGACTGTGACCATTCGAGATAATTTGTGCCATTCAATCTATGGCCAGTAATGAGCATAGATGAATGAACTGAGGTCTGGTAGTTTGTCATTGAGCTATTTGGGGAGTTAGGGTTATGGGTTTGTGAGTGGGGAGAAGAGTCAGATTGCTCGGTTTCCACCATTGTGGTGTTTAAACAGCCTGCTCTGATACCATGTAAGTTTTAGGAATAAAACTTACTTGATTGAATGAGCCATTCGGCCAGAGTATAAATACAGTTTGTACAGATAACTACAAGCTGGTACAGATCCTAAAAATTAGGATCTAGATAACTATGAGCTTATCTACAACTAACTAAGTCTATCCGACTCACTTATGTACATCAATCTAATCAGGAAAAATAATGTAACATTTTTCTAATAATGTAACATTTTTCTACAGTCATTGGCTTGTTTTGAATTTTACAAACTTGTTGTCATGTATCTTCAGGTAGGCTTAGCAGACAAACTTAATACTGTAGTAAGAGCTCTTTCTGGGGGTATGAAAAGGAAGCTGTCGCTCGGGATAGCATTAATTGGAAACAGTAAGGTGAATGCAAGATGAACACTAATGCTGTTTATTTATCTCTTTCTTTCCTAACAATCTGTTGTTTCTTCATTTAGATAGTTGTTCTTGATGAACCAACCAGCGGAATGGATCCTTACTCCATGCGGTTGACCTGGCAGCTGATAAAAAGAAAAAAGAAAGGAAGAATAATCTTACTGACTACTCATTCAATGGATGAAGCTGATGTCTTAGGAGATAGAATAGCTATAATGGCCAATGGTTCTCTAAAATGCTGCGGAAGGTGTTTCCAATATAGACCCAATATTTAATTCTTAGATGTCCATATTTAATAAAAACACCGACCTTAATCGTTTTGGTTAAATTTATTTGCCTGATATATGATGGGTCTCTTGCATTTACACATGGTCTCTGGAGGTAAGCTCCTCCCATATTTGTTGTATGTTCTTAACGTGAGTTTTAACTTTTCTGACAGTTCCCTCTTCTTAAAACATCACTTTGGAGTTGGTTATACCCTCACACTGGTTAAGGTACCCATGTTGGCATATTTCTCTTGCTATATTGTTCTATTCTCTTGGTGTAACAGCCTTGCTATAATATAATCATAACCTTTGCTTTTTTCAGACTGCACCTAGAGCCACTGCAGTTGCGGATATTGTATACCAGCATATTCCATCTGCTACATGCATAAGTGAAGTAATCTTCTGACACTTTGGAAATCAATCTATCATAAATGCAGAAAATACTTATTACGTCTGCTGACTTTTCACTGTTATACTGGTGGTTGAATAACAGTAGATATTATGTTATTATATAATGTTTTGTAAACATGTTTTAGTTTTTGATATCCTTCGTAGGTTGGAACAGAGATATCCTTCAAACTCCCTCTCACATCTTCATCTTCTTTTGGACGCATGTTTCGTGAAATAGAGTGCTTCATAAAAAGGTCCACTTCTTCTTCTAGAACTGAAAACTGTGGGGAAGAAAATGTGGGCATTGAAAGCTATGGCATATCTGTCACAACTCTAGAGGAAGTATTTCTGAGGGTAGCTGGGGGTGATTTTGATCAAGATGAGAGTCATGAGGAGAGAGAAGGTCCAGTCTCATGTGATACTGCTGTTTTTATAGCCTGCCAATCTTATACTCCAAAGGGATCATATCACTTTAAGTCATGTCGAAGCTATTTTAGAATCGTTTGCTCTATAGCCACCATAATTGGAAGAGCTTCTTGTCTAATTTTGACTACAATTTTAAGTGCTTTAAGGTTCTTATTGAGCATGCCATGCTGTTGCTGCTGTATACTTTCAAGGTCAATGTTCTGGAAACATTTAGAAGCATTATTCATAAAGAGAGCGAAGTCTGCTCGTAGAGATATGAAAACAATTTTTTTCCAGCTTCTGGTTCCTGCTGCCTTTTTATTTTTTGGGTTACTCTTTCTCAAGCTCAAGCCACATCCTGATCAGCAGTCGGTCACCTTTACAACTGCGTACTTTAATCCTTTACTAAGTGGTGGAGGTGGTGGTGGCCCGATTCCTTTTGACCTTACCTGGCCTATTGGAAAGGAGGTTGTGATCTTTTACCCATTCATGTTGTAACTGTTTTTTTCCCGAAGGCTCATTTACCTAGCCTGTTTTACACAAATACACACCAGGTTGCAAATTATGTTCATGGAGGATGGATACAAATGTTTCAAAAAACACCATATAGATTCCCCGATTCTGAAAAGGCATCAAGTGATGCTATTAAGGCAGCTGGGGCTACCTTGGGACCTGCTCTACTTTCTATGAGTGAATATTTGATGTCTAGCTTAAATGAGTCATATCAATCGAGGTTAGTGATTCAGAAGTTATATCTGTAATTTTTTTGTTAAACTTGTGAAGTTTTGAGAATATTCTCATTTCTTGTGTGGTGTCTTCTAGGAGATAGTGTGGGTGTGTACAAAAAAAGCTTCTCCTCAACCCCTTCCCTTTTTAGGTCCCCTGTCCCCTTGGTTGCAGATCTAATTTCTTGCTGCACCATTGCTGAAAATTTTTACCTACATTGTAGCAATAACAATTTGGTCATCCTTAGTGTAGAAACTATAATCCCACTTGAATCTCAATAGCATAATCATTTTTTCGTCAATCACTAACCTCAAATGTGTCACTAATATATTTTTTAGCTTTTCTATCTACGAAGATGCTCATGCCCACGACCCTTGAACCATATTTTCCTTGATACAGTTCTATTCAATGTGTTGCTTTTTTGTGTTAATAATATAAGTCCTATTAAGATGTGATACTGGCTGAAATACTAGTAACAGTGGTACTATCACACTATATAAGACTATAACTAATGCTTTTCCAAGATCAGCGATATAACAATCAACAATAGCAAAGATGGGGACTCCCCAGATTTCAGTTTTTAAAGCTTCATGTAGCTTATGTGTTCGGTGCTAACATGATGAAGAAATCAGAAGCATGACCTACAATCAGAGTCTGGAACTCTGGAAGGCATGTGTGCTGTTTAGCTCTGCATTTTTGAGCATATTCCTGAAACAGGTATGGAGCAATTGTAATGGATAATCAGCATGATGATGGCAGTCTTGGATACACTGTCCTGCACAATAGCTCTTGTCAGCATTCTGCTCCAACCTTTATCAATGTGATGAATGCAGCAATACTGAGGCTTGCTACTCTTAATGAGAATATGAGTATTGTTACACGTAACCACCCCTTACCTATGACTGAAAGTCAGCACCAACAACACCATGTATGATTTTTGTTGAATTTTATTTGCGTTGGATATTTGGTGAATCTTGCTTGATTCCCTATTTTTTTTATTAAATGTTGAACTAATGTGCATTTGCTTGTGTGAGTTTCTGTTACTCATCCAGATATTCTGAATTCTTGCGAACTTGTGCATGTACATATGATATGTACGACGTATGATCTTTATACATTTACGAGGGTCATTGTATTTAACCACAAGGAGTAGTTTGTGAACTGAAAATTCTGTTCCTGCTTCGATTTCTGACACAAAGTATCCATTTCCTTGATGTAGTAAAAGTTGTCATTTAGTGTGTCATCTAAAATTTTAGGATAGTAACTTTGCATGTCAAAGTTTACAAGACCAACTTCTTATTAAGTTAACTGTTTTTAGGAATGATTGAACTAAGATGGTTCAAAGAAGCTCTTTGCTGCTTTTAGCCTGATTTTTTTCTCTATTTATACTTGAGTTTTAAATGTTTCAATGTGTAGGATTTGGATGCATTCTCTGCAGCAGTTGTTGTCACTATTGCATTTTCTTTTATTCCTGCCTCATTTGCTGTTGCAATCGTAAAGGTAGGTACAATCTCATTGACGTTATTCCAGCATTTGGAGTACCCTATCTATCAACTTGTGAACACACATTGACACACTCACACATTCTCTATCAATCTTGCTCCTCCACATTATATATTTATCTTTCCTTCGCTCTTTGGCACACACCCACTCATGTGCAGACAGATGTACTCATATATTCTGATTTTTGTATGAGCTAAAGCATACATAAATGCTCTCACACATGCACAATCTGTCCGTTTTTTTATTTATATCAAGGAAGTAGATCTGGGTATCTAAACTTTTCTTATCTACCCTTTAAGATGTAGACAGTTTATAAAACTTGATTTGGTTTTGTTACTTTGTAACTATATAAGATTAGGTAAAAAACTTTCAAGAATCAAATATGTAAATATTGTATATCAGGCAACATGAATCCTTATGCCTGGTCTCAAGAACAAACTTTGCAAATATATGGTAGGAGGCTGTGTTTTATAACTGTATAATGTGCACTTACACGTTGCAGGAACGTGAGGTAAAAGCAAAGCATCAGCAACTAATTAGTGGGGTATACTTATATTGCTAAACCTCTGTCTTTATTTTTTCATTTCTCAATGTTTTCCTGACCATTTGGTCCCTTCTCAGGTGTCTATACTTTCATATTGGACTTCAGCATATATATGGGACTTCATCAGCTTTTTGTTTCCTTCCATCTTTTCCTTGGTCATCTTTTGCATCTTTGGTACGTCCATCTTTGGACGATTGCAACTTTCCATTATGAGCACACCCCCTAGAGATCTTAGGATACTAACACGAATACTTCCAAATTTATTGAACCATGATATAAGCTCTCTCATACTTGCTGCTGTGCTATCATTTACATTTTAGGAGTGCGCTCCCTCTCCTGGTGGTTGGTCTGAACTAGATTTCTTAGTAAGTCCTAGAGGTTCAAAGGAGGAAGGCAGGATGCTCTTCTAGAATCCAGGCTGTCATGTTTATCACCCTTTTGTATATTGTGCTGATTAATGTGCTTAAGGCTTCAAGCAAAGAAAATTAATGAAAAAGCGTGAGTTGTAAAACTATATATTAAACAATCTGTTCCCATAATCTTATGGTAATGGCATGATAACTCTGGAAGTTAGCTGTTGAAAATCAGGTGTAAATCTTGACTGGTTGTTCCTACCTCCCTGATTGTTTTATCCTTCTTTGGTTAGTAGGTTGATGTATGTGTATTTAAGGAGTGGTGCTCTCCCATTTTAATAATCGAATAGACGATGGAAATAAAATATCCTTTCATCTGTCTCATATAGTATCACATCCTCATACTCTGCAAATTATATGAGGATAGTTTTAATCGGCTATAAAACAGTGCAGAACTTAAAGAGAAAATACTTGTGGTTGAACCCAACAACGAATAATTGCTAACTAATGTATCGTAAGTTCTATTTGGTCCTACACAGGACTTGATCAATTTGTTGGAAAGAATTCTCTCTTCCCCACTGCTCTCTTGTTTTTGGAATATGGACTAGCTATTGCTTCTTCAACATATTGCCTTACATTCCTCTTCTCCGAGCACAGCATGGCACAGGTATTTGTTCTGAATGATAGATGAATCATTAAATTTTATGTTTTCCTTGTAAGTAGAAAACAAGAATACATTATTCTCAAAAAAGCATCAAGAAGGACGCATTTCACTGTCTATAATGATTAATGATTCTCTTGTGACGCTTGCAGAATGTAGTGCTCTTGGTTCACTTCTTTACAGGGCTCATTCTTATGGTCATATCATTTATAATGGGTCTAATAGAGTCAACGGCGCATCTCAATTCTCTTCTCAAGGTTTAAAAGTTTAAAGTATTTATCTTTCTCTACAAATCTCTCATTTAATCAGGCACGTTTCTGTTATGCACAACTTTCTCAATAAAAGATAAGGGCAGGTGCATCAAGATTTCTATTAAGACTTCTTTTTCATACAAGCTCATGATGTAATTGAATATCAATTACTTAAGTTCTAATACTATACATTGCATAAGTATATATTTATTTTTATATTATACTTCAAAATATTGGACATTTCATGAGATCATTTTTTTGGTATCATGCCTGTCCCAAGCCAGGATAAAGGAGGAGGGTGCTGTGGTAGGCGCGTGACAGCCAACAGTATCACTTAGTCACATCACATGACATGAATCGAAATATGAATATCGCTAGTTCAAAATATTGGACATATGTATGTTTCACTAGGGGTGGATTCAGTTTGGGAACCGATCCGAAATAGAAATATTCCAAACCGAACCGAACATTCGGTTTCTCATATTCTCTAAGCCGATACCGAACCAAATATTAATGGAATCCGATTTTTCGGAACCCGGTTTTTCGGGTCGGTTTTTCGGTTTTATGAAAAACCGAATAAATTTTGAACTATTGCCTGAAGAGTTGCAGGGAAGCAGAGCTTTGCTCGCCTAATTCAATTCTCACCCCAAGAGCCGGATATATAGGGAACTAGGAGGAGTATCTTCTTAGTTTCTACCGGTGTGGGAAAGTTTGGAAGGCTTTAGAAAAATTAAAGGGAAGGAATGCGAAGTAGATGGGATTCAAACATGGGTGAAAAGTAAAAAGCGGAAGGAGATGTCTTCCCTCAACCGCTGAACCGCATCACAAAGTTGTTTAGAAATAGACTTATAAACAATTTATTACGTATAAGCTGTGAAATATATATAAATATATAACACTAAATAAAAACTGGTTCGGTTTGAACCGATTTTAAACCTCTAAAAACCGCCTTTGAACCAATTATTTTTCGGGTCCCGACTTTCAGGTCCCGTTGTAGTCGGTTCGGTTTCGGTTCGGTTTTTTTATAGCTCGGTTCGGTTTTTTTATTGCTCGGTTCGGTTTTCAGTTTTTCGGTTTAAAATGCCAGCCCTATGTTTCACTCAAACCAAGTATTGTCATTGCCAAAGGGAGGTCCTAAAGTTCTCTTTATCTATTTTAATTTTTTGTCATTGGAAAAGAAGTTCGCTCTTCCAAAACATTGATAGATATACTTATATACAGTTAAGGGCGGTCGTGACACATTTGGCTCAGGCATGAGGCATCCACATCACCATTTGCTTTAATGAACTTTTGTTCTCCAGTCATGCAGAGAACATGTTCCATTTTCTAAAATAATTTATGATTCGTAGTTCAACTTTATTTATGGTCTTATGTGAAGCATAGCATGAGTACTCCAGTTTGGCAAAAGTACCAGTACCGGGTACTTTTGGGGTATGGCCGACAAACATACCCGAAATTTTTTTTCCTTTTTTTAAAACATGGGCACAACTTTGTATAGCTTGGGTAGGGACTTAGTCAAATGACGTGGTTTGTTTTTTCAGTTTCTCCTGTTTTCCTTTTCCCTGTCTTTCACTATATTTCAGACACCTGGTTTTAACTGATGGTGAAAAGAATGATCTTCTAAGATTAAGTATTTTTTTCCAGAAAAACATATGATTAGTACTCTTGACCCTTCTTTTTGCACTTGAGCTCCAAATGTTTTGTTGCCTGTGTAATCTAAAATACAGGTGACAATGTAAAAAAAAAAAAGATTTTGGCAAGTCCAAATGCCTGAACGACTGATCTTATCTTACAATCATCTTGGATGTTATCTTTGAAGAATCTAAAATCAGTTTTCTCCACTGTTATGTGGTCTACTTAAACATGTTATGGCACCTTGTTTAGAACCACGATATATCTAGGATTAACATATTCCAATTCCATTCAGTTGGGGCATCCCTGAAATGTTCCTCTTCATTTTTTGTGCTTGATAGCCGTTCATGTATAATTATGTGATCCTTTAGCAATGCGCATCAGCTTTATAACCTCTCATTTGCTTTCTAGGTCTTTTTTAGATTGTCTCCCGGATTTTGCTTTGCTGATGGCCTAGCTTCATTAGCGCTTCTAAGACAAGGAATGAAAACAGATTCTGATGATCATGTCCTTGACTGGAATGTGACTGGTGCATCTATCTGTTATTTAGCCGCAGAGGTATTTTTTGTCCATTTTATAAAGTTGAAGTGAAACCCTTGGATGGATCATCAAGTTTGTAAATCATGAAGTTGTTACCACATCAAGAAACAATATTTGAAACATTTAGGGCCTGTTTACTAACAGAGATATTTTCCAGTTTTTCAGAAAGCTGGAAAACTAGAAAACAGAAAACAGGAAACGTGTTTACCAAAGAAAATTGCTGGAAAACTGGAGAAAGGAAAACAGAAAAACGCGTTTACCAAACCATTTTCCAAAACGAAAAAAATGAGACATGTCTCTCTTTTCCTTGATGATTTGGAGAAGTGACTTTTACTAGTTTTCCAAATTTGGAAAACGCAGATGCTACAGGTCGCTGCAATGAATTTGCATACTTACACCTAGTGGTGGGTCCGGTCCCGCTCCTATGTCGATTCCATTCTAGTACCTTCATCCTCTTACCTTACCCCTTACCCCTACCCTACCCTACCCTACCCACCCAACCACCCTGCATACCCCTTTTCCCTACAATGACCCTACCCCCACCCCCTACCACATGCCCCTACCTCCATCCTCGTACCTTACCCCTTAATACTGCAGAACATTTGTCTAGTATAAGGAATCAATAGGAGTACTTTCCTTTTATTGAATTCCCATACTCATGCTGAAAGTCCGATCGTCCATCCTTACTTGGGGAAAAGCATCTCAGTGTGCCTTGTGAATGACATTATCTCTTGGCTGAAATGAATTATGTGAATTAGATTAAGAAAAGTTTTTTCTTTGGAATCACGTGAGATCTTTGAATAGTCATTCCCAACAGAAGCTACTTTTATACCAAATCAGTTACTCCCTCCGTCCCAAATGTAAGATAGTTTTAGGGTTGAAATGCGTTTTAAGAAAATATAGGATATAGTTATTCTTTTACATTTATAACTTCCCAAGAGTAAGAAAGAAGTAGTAAAGTCCATTAGTCCACAAAAAGTAAAAAAGTGAAATGATAGATAAAGGGATAAAATGAGAAAGTAAAAACTTAGTAGCTTCAAGGTTAGGAAAGTGTTGTGTCTTTTTGGGACAACCAAAAAGGAAATTGTATCTTACAAAATGGGATAGAAGAAGTATTTATCTTAGAAAGAAAAAGTATAAGATATGTTATGAATGTGTATAGAGAGCTTAAGTAGTTAGATCATTACTTGGTAGCTACTCGGTCAAATGCCAAGTAGCGATTAAGAACTGAATACTCAATAGTAATAAGGAATTGCTCAACCTTATATTACTAAATGTGTCAAAATATATGCTACAATATTGTTCCTCTTGTAACTTAATATTTTATTTAATAAATTAGGGATGTGTTCCCCGGCACTCCCACACTGCGTGTGGTTTGCTCCGGGTTAAAAAAAATGCTATAATATTATAAAAATGTTAGTTTACAAGATTGTTATGTATTAAAGAGCATCAATAATCCATAATAACTAGTACAAAACATTTCAAGATCTTTGTGATGTTAGATTGTTAGGTGCCCTGTATAATTCTCATGATGTGCATGTTAGTTTTAATATATTAATCTTGTAATGGAACATGACTGTAACAACTCTTCCAATCCAAGACTGTCTCATTATATTTTCTGTGCAAGTGGAAACTCGGTTTTGATATCTGCTTTGGAGTTTCATCTCCTTATTCTTTCATACAAAGGTTGTGACAGGAAAGGCATCTTTTGTTGCATCAATTCATGGCATTAACTAATTTTTTACACTAATTTTTCTGGATTTGTTGAGATTAAGGTGATGAAAATGGTGGTGATGATTTTATTGCATCTATAAAGTACCACTGCATTTTGGAAATGGAGTAACTGCTTTGATGTCTGACAGGCCATTATATATTTCATTGTAACACTTGGGCTCGAGTATTTCTCACATCAGAGGATGACTCTATCAATAGTTTACGAGTGGTGGAAAGGATTAACAATATCGGCATGTGCAAGTTCCAGTAGCTCTTCAGAACCTCTTCTACAATCTTCTGTAGATGTAACTCCCGAACTCAATGAGGACATAGACGTGAAAACAGAGAGAGTTCGTGTTCTATCAGGCTTGACAGACAATGCAATTATATGCCTGTGTAATCTTAGGAAGGTATGTGTAACAAATAGACTTTCAAACGCCTACTGGGTTTAGATATCAGGCATTTTTAGTAGAAACCTATAAATTTCAGGTATATGCTGGATATAAGAATCAAGGCCCTAAAATTGCAGTCCATTCGTTGACCTTCGCAGTCCAAGAAGGAGAATGTTTTGGTTTTCTAGGGACAAATGGGGCAGGGAAGACAACAACTCTATCAATGCTATCAGGTATCATCTTCTCATCACTTAAAAATATGTTCGAGTCCCTAATCTGTTGGTAGAACCATAGAGGGCGCGATCTCATTAGTTGGAGTTTTTTCTTATCATGATAAGGTGTTATGGTTAATTCTATGGTCCTTTTCCTATCGTATTACTTTGATATTATTTTTTAAATGGATCTACTATGTGAATATGTAATAATATGAGAACCTCTTTTCTCAACTTTTGAATTACTGAACAGGAGAAGAACAACCAAGTGATGGAGCTGCATTTATTTTTGGCAGAGACATATGTTCAAACCCAAAAATTGCTCGTCGAGACGTATGCAATGATATCTAGTGACCTTATACTTCCATTCTGTGTTTATAATTTGTAAAAACTGAACTGATATCTATATTTATTTTATGCAGAGCTATTATATTGTTGAATTTCTGTATTGCAGATTGGGTATTGCCCACAATATGATGCTTTACTAGAATTCTTGACAGTCAAAGAACATCTTGAGCTTTATGCAAGAATTAAAGGAGTGCCAGAGTATGACCTAGAAGATGTATGTCTTTCTTGAACTTTTCAAATTGCATGTACACTGATGTAAAAAAAGTAACATTCACTAACTCCCAAAAAAGGTTCTATCTTCCATCACCACAAAAGGAGAAAAACAGAGAACAAAAAAAATCACAGGTCATTACTAAGAAACCTGCATGGGACATATGACTCAAAGTTTGCAAATTAGACAAATTTTCTGTATATGGATTTGGATATGGTAATATGACTGATCACTTTTTTATGTATCAATCCCTGGATGGTTAACTCAAAAGTAATCTGGGCAGATTGTTATGAGAAAGTTATTGGAGTTTGACCTGTTAAAGCATGCTGATAAGCCATCCTTCACCTTAAGTGGAGGGAACAAGCGGAAGTTGTCTGTTGCAATTGCAATGATCGGAGATCCACCCATCGTGATCCTTGATGAGCCATCCACTGGTATACATATATTTTTATTCCATATTTTGATTTAATTTCGGATTCCATGTTCTCGATATTGTAACATCATTTGTGGTTTCAAACCGTAGATCGGTTGATGTGTGTGTGTACGCACAAATCAGGTCATGTTGCATAGTATTACTATTGTTTGTATTGTTTTTGTTGTTGATGATGATCATCATCATGATCTGTGCACCTTTTCCACTAGAGGCTCTTCGTATGTTCTAATTTAATTGATAGACTTCATACCAAAATACCTAAGAAACTCGACATGAGACTTTTCCTAAAGATTATATACATGCATAAGATTGCACATGCTGATGAGCGCAAATGTATGTTAGACTGCAGTTTTCTTGAAGAGCTTAATCACCGAACATGTGGGGTAGTCTTAGTATTAGTTTACCTCCATTGCCAGTCTACTAGAAATATTATGGGACAACAATAAATATGCTCTGTTATAGACCTATAGAGTCAATATTTTTGGCTTTAAATAACTATATACACATCCCTGTGAATATTTAATGACAGACTCGTAAAATCGCAAACCTATCTAAGTTCTAACTGCCCAGATAACTACTGTTTGTTAAGTTGATAGATGTAAACTTTTCAAGAATCAGGGTTTTCTCTATATTTTGGTTCCTAAAGTTGACCAACCGTAAAATTTTAGGCATGGATCCTATTGCCAAACGTTTCATGTGGGAAGTTATATCTCATCTATCAACTAGATCTGGAAAGACAGCTGTCATCTTAACTACACACAGCATGAATGAAGCTCAAGCTCTCTGCACAAGGATTGGGATAATGGTACCTGTTCAGTTCATTACTAGTGCTATTCCAATAGCCCTGTAATAAACTAATAATGAGCTTAATTAATATTATTCCTTTTGTGTTTATGAGCAGAGGATTATAGAATTATCTGTCACGCCCTTTATTTCATATTTATTTTTAACTAATGATTCATTTTCCCTTAATTATTTATTTATCTATGTATATATTATTCATTTATTTATTTATTTATTAATTTTGCATGTTATTTGAAGGTTGGAGGAAAGCTGAGATGCATAGGAAGTCCACAGCATCTAAAAACACGATTTGGGAATCATCTTGAACTTGAAGTAAGAATGACTATGATAATGTCCCTCCAACTGATATTCATGTATTTATTTACTTAGCATCACATGTTTTAGGTCAAACCAATTGAAGTCAGCTCAAAGGAATTGGAAAATCTATGCCAAATAGTTAGAGAGAAATTATTTGACCTTCCTCCCCTTCCAAGGAGTATACTTGGTGAAATTGAAGTGTGCATGGGAGGTATAGAGTCCCAAGCATCCAAAAATGCATCTGTCTCAGAGATTAGCTTAACAAAAGAGATGATAATGACAATAGGAAGGTTGCTTGGCAATGAAGAAAGGGTGAAAGAATTTGCATGTGCACCTGATGATTCTTCTGGTCGTATTGAGCAGTTAACAGAACAACTAGTTCGGGATGGTAAAATAACTCTCACATCTCTTTAATCAACTTAACTTATAATTAAAAAAGTATGCTTCCCATAAATATGCCGTCTTTTTTGCAACAAATAAATATATATTTAAACTACTATGAAATATGAATACTTCACATTTTTTTCCTATCATGACAAGTAGGAGGAATTCCACTGCCAATATTTTGTGAGTGGTGGTTGGCTAAAGAGAAGTTCTCAGCAATTGACGCATTTGTTCAATCTTCATTTTCTGGTGCAACATTCCATGGTTGTAATGGATTGAGTGTCAAGTATCAGGTAATGCCAATCAAACTTAATGAGCATGCATGCCTTTTTTAGTTTTAACAGGACTGGGAGGAGTGGGAGCATATAATTATTTCCCTCTGTTGAAATATAAACTAGAATAACATTGAAGATGAAGAGAAGGATTTTCTGTGTATTTCATTAGAGGGTTAAGGCCCTATATATATATATTACAAAGATGGAATATTCCTATATAAGATGCTATACAATAATAATGTCTAGAGTATATTCCTAAAGCATATTCTAGAGCATATTCCTAAAGCATATTCCTAGATACAATAATACTTTCACATTCTAGAGCATATTCCTAAAGCATATTCCTAGATACAATAATACTTTCACACTCCCCCTCAAGTTGGAGCATAGATATTTATCATGCCCAACTTGTTACATAAGTAATCAACTCGAATCCCATTTAGAGCTTTAGTGAATAAATCTCCAAGTTGTTCTCCAGTCTTCACATACCCGGTAGAGATTAATCCTTTTTGTATCTTCTCTCGAATAAAATGGCAATCAACCTCAATATGCTTTGTTCTCTCGTGAAATACGGGGTTGTTTGCTATGTGTATAGCAGCTTGGTTATCGCACCACAACTGAGCAGGCATTGGTGTCTTCAATCCAATTTCATTCAATAAATGGTGTATCCATATTATCTCACATGCGGATTGTGCCATAGCTCGATATTCTGATTCAGCACTAGAACGAGAAACCACATTCTGTTTCTTACTCTTCCAAGATACAAGATTACCACCAACAAAGACACAATAGCCAGATGCAGATCTTCGATCATCTTTAGAACCGGCCCAATCAGCATCTGCAAAGCATTCTATTCTCATGTGATCATGGTTTTGATAAACAATACCTCGTCCTGATGCTCCCTTTAAGTAACATAATATGTGTTCTACAACAGCCCAATTCTGTGTTCTACACTCACAGAATAAGCAATATCTGGACGGGTGACTGCGAGATAATTAAGCTTTCCAACCGGTCTTCTATATCTTTCTGGGTCTTCAAACGGTGTGCCTTCTTGAGTGAGTTGCACGTTGGGAACCATGGGTGTTGTACTTGGTTTTGCCCCTAATTTCCCTGTCTCAGCTAGTAAGTCAAGTACATATTTACGTTGAGATAGAAATATGCCTTTCTTACTTGGTGTTACCTCAATTCCCAGAAAGTATTTCAAAGAGCCAAGATCTTTCGTCTGGAATTGACTGCAGAAAATTCTTAAGGGCCGAAATACCTGCATTATCACTCCCTGTAATCACAATATCATCAACATATACCACAAGCAATGTGACACCTGATTATGTTTGTTTGTAAAATACAGAGTGGTCTGATTTGCCTTTTATCATTCCAAATTGTTCAATTGATTGACCGAATTTCCCAAACCATGCACGAGGACTCTGTTTCAGACCATAAAGAGATTTGCGAAGTCGACAAACTTTACCATACTCCCCCTGAGCAACAAATCCCGGAGGTTGCTCAATATAGACTTCTTCCTTAAGGTCACCATGCAAAAATGCATTTTTAATGTCCAATTGATGTAAGTGCCAATCATGAATTGCAGCGAGTGAGATAAGTAACCTGACAGATGTTAATTTAGCAACAGGAGAAAAAGTGGCAGAATAATCAACACCATAGGTTTGAGCATAACCCTTCGCAACTAATCGGGCTTTCAACCGAGCAACGGATCCGTCTGGGTTAACCTTAACAGCAAAGACCCACTTACATCCAATAGATTTCTTCCCTGTAGGTAAGTCAACCAAATCCCATGTACCATTAAGATCTAAAGCATTCATTTCCTCTACCATGGCTTGACGCCATTCAGGATGAGACAGAGCTTCTTTGACAGATTTGGGAACATAAATAGAATCAATGGAAGCAATAAAAGAACATGAAGCAGGAGATAACTGATTGTACGACACAAATGAAGAAATAGGATGAGTACAAGACCGTGTACCTTTACGTACTGCTATTGGGAGATCAAGATCTGATGTGGAAACAAGATCTGAAGATGCAGATACTGGTTCAGGACATGAGATCGGAGTCGAACTAGTATCAAGAAAAGTAATCACAGGTATCGCCGGTGGAGGGTGATCAGGTGCTTTGTGTCGACGGGTGTATACCAAATGTACGGGAGGCCTAGGGTCATGAACAGTAACTTGTGGAATATTTGTCGAAAGTGTGGACTCGGGAATAGTCATCGTGTAAATGAGAATATCATCATTACTCTCACGAATATCTGCCTTAGATGATGAAAAAGGTGTATTTTCATGAAATGATACATCAATAGAAACAAGATACCGACCAGTACTCGGACAAAAACATCTATACCCCTTTTGGACTCGAGAATAACCCAAGAAAATACATTTTAATGATTTCGGATCTAACTTTGTTAGATGAGGATTAACATCTCTAACAAAACAAGTGCAACCAAATATTTTAGGTGGGATAGGAAAAAGCTCTCTGTTTGGAAATAGACAATGATAAGGAGCTTTACCATTCAAAACAGAAGATGGCATTCGATTTATCAAAAAACATGCAGTAGACACGGCATCTACCCAAAACTGTTTAGGCACATTCATTTGGAATAGAAGAGCATGAAGTTTGATGAATAATGCCATGTTGGTTCTAACAGATGTCGGTTCTTTCGTTCCGCAACTCCATTTTGAGGAGGTGTATCAACGCATGAAGTTTGATGAATAATGCCATGTTGAAGCATAAATGACTTAAATGTAGCAGATAGATATTCTTGGGCATTGTCTCCTCTTAACACCCGAACAGGAACGTTAAACTGAGTTTTAATTTCAGCACAAAAGGAAGAAAAATGAGTGAACAACTCAGATCGACGTTTCATGAAATACAACCATGTCATACGAGAATAGTCGTCAACAAAGGTAACAAAATATTTAAAACCAGCTTTAGACACAACCGGGCAAGCACCCCAAACATCAGAGTGAACAAGGTCAAATGGAGCATTTGCTCGTTTATTAACTCGCGGGCCTAAGCTAGTACGATGGTGTTTCGCAAATTGACATGACTCACATTGTAAAGAGGTCGTCTTATTAAATTGGGGATTTATTTGCTTCATTAATGGGAGAGATGGATGTCCTAATCGGTAATGAGCATCTAACAAAGTCCCAACCCCAAGACAAGAGATACCTTTGGTGATGGATGTATCCAAAATATATAGACCAGCTGACTCATGTCCTTTACCAATAATCTGCATCGTTAACAGATCCTGAAACACACAATATCCCGGAAAAAATGTTACAGAACAGTTAAGAGTACGAGTGATTTTACTGATGGAAAGCAGATTAAATGCAAAATTAGGAAGACTCAAAACAGGCGATAATGGTAATGTAGAAGTTGGAACAACAGTACCAGATCCAAGAACGGGTGAGGTAGATCCATCAGCTAAAGTGACACTAGAAGTAGGTAAATATGAATGAAATGACGAGAATAGACTAGGATTACCGGTCATATGATCTGTGGCACCTGAGTCAATGACCCATTTCGAGGATGAGGAAACAAGACACGTGTTTGAAATACCTGAATTAGCGGTTACCGAGATAGGGACAGAGGAATGCTTTAGAGTTTCTTGGTAGCAAATAAATTTGGCATACTCGTCTGATGAAATAGCAATTGATCCATCGGATGAACTGGTAGCGGAAGCAACATGAGCAAGCTGATTTCCTTGATTTTTGAACAGCAATTTTCTACATTCTTTGATCAAGTGTCCGGGCTTCTTACAGTAATTGCATATTACTCCTCTGTCAAATCCACTCGTACAAGACATTTTTTTTTTTGGAAGGGGGTTAAAAATAAAATAACATAAAACACTTGAAATATTCAGTGAAAACTGGACTCACCGCAGCTTTCCCGTTTGTGGATTTAAAAGCTGGTGAATAAAATACTATGTGTCTAATTTGCTTGGCCTGACTGCTACGGAGTCCAGCAGATATGCAAAGAATCAGTGAGGAAGCCTGTGATCGTTCACAAATATCCCATGTGATACCCCAGCAGATGCGAACAACCAGAGGAAGCAGCAGAAGTCCGATGCCAGACCCCAGCGACCAACCAGGCAACCACAGATACCTGTCCCTTGAGAGAGAAGTAAAGTATACCTGGTAGAGGATTTTCAAGCGAGTCTCAGGCGAAGAGTTCCGATCAAATCTCCGGCCAGAAACACGGCGTCACGCGCCGGAGCATGCGTTGGCTGCGGAAGCTTCCGACGGCGCGTGTAACTCACGCGCGATGATTTGGGCGTGCGGACTTCGGATGTTCGGTCGACAGGGGCAGGCAAACCAGAGGATGAGGGGGGTGAGGTATGTTTTGGGCAAAGGTTCTGAGAGTTATATTTCGGCTGATGGTGTGTGAAAGGATGTTCTGACTTCTGAAAGAAGCAAAAATAAAATAAATGGAAACTAAACTGAAATGGAGAAGGGTTGATGGGTACCCAATTGTTTCTTATATCTGAGGTTCTGGTTCTTGGAAAAGGTTCTGGGATGAGCAGTAGGTTCTGAGAAAAGGTTCTGGGAAGAATAAGAGGTTCTGGGAAGATCAGAGGTTCTTGAAGATTGGTAAACAGAAAAACTAAACTGAAATAGAAGGCTCTGATACCATGTTGAAATATAAACTAGAATAACATTGAAGATGAAGAGAAGGATTTTCTGTGTATTTCATTAGAGGGTTAAGGCCCTATATATATATTACAAAGATGGAATATTCCTATATAAGATGCTATACAATAATAATGTCTAGAGTATATTCCTAAAGCATATTCTAGAGCATATTCCTAAAGCATATTCTAGAGCATATTCCTAAAGCATATTCCTAGATACAATAATACTTTCACATTCTAGAGCATATTCCTAAAGCATATTCCTAGATACAATAATACTTTCACACCCTCTACATTCTCTAATATGTTATAAATGACATTGTATGTTATGTATAGCTTTTTTTCACCCTCTATTTAGTCTGCTAACTATGACTTTGCATACATTTTTAACAACAACATCCAAGCCTTAATTTCCAAAGAGTTCGGGGTCGGCTAGGATGAATCGACATATGAAATCGGAGCTAAAATAGATAAAAAAGATAAGATAAAAGAATTCAGAAAGATAAAAAAGATAACATGAAGATAGACATAAGATAAAGAAAAAAAAAGATAAAGAAAAAAAAAGAAAAAAAAACATAAAATGAGATCAATCCTCCACACATATATTTGCATAGAGTTTTAAAAAGTTGAAATAATGTGATTGAGATGTATTTAGGAATGTAAAAACTAAAATCAACCGCATTATTCTTTCTTTACATGAAAACATGAACATTATTCAGGGGCAGTCCAAAAGAAAAAATCTGAAGAGTAAAAGGGGACAGGGATTATTATTGTTATTATAATTGATTTGAAATTATTTTCATTTTAGTCCCTCATTATCTTCCTAACAACCTCCGTTAACAATGAAACAAACATGACTAACATTGATTTATGTCATGTTTTTTATGACATTTATTTCTAAAAAATACTTGAGTTTTGTTTAGAGTAAGCCTATATAAAAAAAGAATGTTTAGTTCCACATAGCCTTAAATTCAATACTATAAAAAGTTGACGAGTAAAGTGTAGAAAGGAGTTGTACATGAAACATTAAATTGGAAGTTGTCTGAATGTCCGAGAGGCTGATATGGACTATACAGAAAATAACATAAATTGAAGGGATGAAAAACAAAAAAAAATGCAGGGACCTAAACAAACATGTGTTGTATTTCTCAAGGATCTTGAAACCTATTTAAGCCTTGATTTTTCTTGTCCACCGGGACCACCCATCTATTCTGAAAATTCTCACTGCGTTCGCCTTGGAGCTAGTCATTCCTTGAGCGTCTATGTTTTTTCCCTAATCGATCCCAACTATACTTATTTATGGCCCTTGCATGAACCCTCCCAGACCCAAGGTGGACTCCCTATGTGAGCGCTATTTATCATTAGGTCATTAAATTGGCAGTGATTATGAATCTTGACAATGTTGCAGTTGCCATATAGTGAAGATGTCTCGCTGGGGGATGTATTTGGGCACTTAGAGATGAACAGGTAGACGACTAAGTCTAAGGAAGTGATTGTTAATGATGATTATAATTACATTATATTTTTAGATATTAATTTGTGCATCTTGTTCTTAATGATGCAAATTATTGACTTCTTACAGAGACCAGTTGGGGATTTCAGAATATAGTGTGGGTCAGTCAACACTGGAAACAATCTTCAATCATTTTGCGGCTAACTCTGCCTGCTGAGCTGGCTACCTTCTTTAATCTTTAGGCTGCTAATATTTTACTGATGCACCCCAAGGAAAGGTTATGAGGAAATTATATCCTCCATGCATACTTTTCTTCCCTTTGATATTAGTCGCAATGTAACATGGGGAGTAAAAGTTCTATATGCACTAAATGTCTAAATGGATATATATCATGTGAAGATGTTATTCATTTATATCAATAACAAAAAGTCTCAGTAAGAACAATTTGCACTTATTTTGGAATCTTTAAACACCACAACAACAAGCCTTGTGATATTTTTACTTGGACTGGTTTTAGTCTCAGACCAGACCAAAATTCAACCGTTGTAAAATACCCATAGAAAATCATATCAGACTGGACTAGTACAGACTAGATTTAAACCGCCAAGATAAAAAAATCTCAGTCCAATTGATAACATCTTTAATTTCAAGAGTTTGAGGTTGACTCACATGAACCGACATATTATTTAGAGTTGAAACAATGTACCTCGGAGTTTATTTTCAATTGTTGAGGTTAATCCAATACAAGTTTCTAGTACTATATATGCATCTTTAATCACTCAAAAACATGTAGAGTAGAATGCATGTCCACATTTTTACTATATTGGTAAATAATGTTTACAATTCTAAGAAATGATATACAATCACAAGGCCTATAATGTTTTCACTTCAGGGTTTTAATGATTTTTTTATTTAACAGATTTGAAATAATAAATAAAGAAAATTGTCAAATAAGTCATCATACTATAGTCAATTCCACAATTATATCTTCTCACAAATAAAGAAACACCTGAATTTCTCTTTTGAAGGTCATGATCCAGTTATCCCTATGCTTATGCGTCTATTATCCGGATCAGGCCGGGCTCCGGGCCGGTCCAAACCGGGCTTTTTTATTGGGGGTTAAGGCCCGGAACTGGCCCGAGATTCTACTGGGCCCGGGTCCGGGTTGGGTAGCGGTTTTTTTTTTTTTTTTGCTTTTCTAATTAATTCCTCCCCCACCCCCCACACCCCAAACCCCTCAAAAACACCCAGCCCAACCTGCCTACCACCCAAAGACCTTGAATTTTTTTTGGCCCGGGCCGATCCCAAAGAAAGCCTTGGCCCGAGCCCGCCCACAAAACACCTCCGGTTCGGGTCCTAGGCCCGGTCCCGCACAGTGGCGGGCCGGGCCGGGCAAATAGAACCGGTCCATGCCTATGTTGCAGAGAGAATGGTTGTGTAACTTCATTACCAATACGCCATATAAATAGGGAGATATTAGGGTTTACAAAGACAAACCAATAGGCCCATAATACATCATTTACATAGGATAATCTATACTACACAGTTTATCAAAACGATAACACACAATACATAATTTTCTTCTAACACCCCCCCTTGTGGTGACTGCTGAGTTGTAGATAGAACGTGGTATATCTTATTGCCTCTTCAAAACTCTGTCAAGTAAAAAAAAAACGTGTGGGAAAAAATAATCTTGACTGGAGAAAAAGAGTACATCATCATGATAAACTTCTTTCACAAAGCCTATCTTTATTTGTTCCTCGCTTTGATCGTTAAAGTTTATATGTATTGTTACCTCATTAAAAAACCTTACCAAGTAACAAAACCCAGTGAGAAAATAAAACTTGGGTAAAGGAAAAAAGTGTAATGTAATCTAGTTAGGGTACTCCCCCTCACGTCCACATCTACCCTTAATATTTACATTAATCAATGGTGTTTGCAAAATATGTGCATTTTAATACTTGTCACATTAATTACCTTAGTGAATGCACACAAATAGAGGAATATAATTCCTTTAATTCCCCCCCTGTGTGCCGAGTGTAAGGTGATAAGTGCAAAAATTATTAATTTATTAAACCGTTCCCAATGAACAAATAAACATCGATCAAAGGAAAAAGGAAGTATGATGCACTAATAACTACGCGTCAATTACTTTTGGTTGTGGTATAGTAATTATGTTCTTTCTTCAACATTGAAATGTGGGATGATGCATATTATGTTGTCTCAAAAAAACTTTACCAAGTAACAAAACCCAATGAGAAAAAAATAAACATTGGTCAAAAGAAAAAAAGAGTACAACACACAAATATACTTGGTGAAAAATAAGTATGCAAGGATCTCCCTAGAGTGAAACACATCAATCAGAATGTAACATTTACTTCATATATACTTTTATCAAGATATTTTATACACAACGTCATTGTTTCTTTCATTATAAATATATACTCATTAAGAAAACATCAATGAGGTAAGGAGATATCCATTCATTGCAAAACTCAAATCACTTTACTTTGTGTTAGTGATACTTTTGATATTTTCAATTCCTTTAGGAATATTGTAATCATCAATCATTTAATTCAATTTATAAGGAATGAATAAAGATTACACCGTATAAATAGGGAGAATGGTTGTGTAACTTCATTACCAATACGCCCTATAAGGTTGTTTTTACTTGGACTGTAATTCGTCCTAGACCAGACCAGACCAAAACAGACTAGACCAGACTAAAACAGACCAGACCAGACCAAACTAGACCAGACCAGACCATATTTTATTATTGTTTTTGTTGTTGTTGTTATTGTTATTATTGTTGTTGTTATTGTTGTTGTTGTTGTTGTTGTTGTTATTATTGTTATTATCATCATCATCATCATCATCATCATCATCATCATTATTATTATAATTATTATTATTATTATTATTATTATTATTAGTAGTAGTATTGTTATTGTTGTTATTATTAATACTTGTACTATTTTATTATTGTTCTGTATTTGTATGATCTGCTTCGGTCTGGGATTGAAATCAATCCAATTATAACGATAACAATTTTCGATAATTTGGAAGGAATATTATTATTTTTAATTATAAATGAATAAAATATAATTATTTATGGATTATAATATATATAAAAATAAAATCTTTATGCAAAATAAATAAAAAATAAAATTTCAGACCAGACCAAAACAGATCAGACCAGACCAGACCAAACCAACAAATTATAGTCCAAGTAAAAACATCCTAAATAGGAAGATATTAGGATTTACAGAGACAGGCCAATAGACCCATAATACATCATTTCATAGGATAATCTATACTACACAATCTCTCTAAACGACAGCACACAATACATATTTTTCTTCAACACTAAGCACTATATACCAGTTTCTCAATTGCAAACTAAAAGAATGAAATGAAAAAAATGAAACAAAAATAATAATTTTTTCTTAAATATTACAACTAACCAATTGAAGGTATACTTTTGAAAAAGTTAAAATTTGATTCTTTTTTATTAAAGTTAGTGAAAAGAAAAATGTGTGAATCAATGATGCTTAGTGATATATAATTTAAGCTAAACTTCCTTATTCTTATGTGATGTCATATGGCATATCGATAAAAATGTATATGTAAGTGTTAATACGAGTTGATAAGTAACACAAATTGTAATATAAGAAATTATATTTGTGTTGAATATTAGAACAAATTGTGTCATAATCATCAAGAAGAAGAACAATTATTTTTAACATTATTATAACTGCGTATAAGTATTAGCGACTGTTTTTTTAGTTTTTGCGACCAATATTCCCTTCGCTAATAGGTCTTTTTCTTGTAGTGACATTCGAAACAACAATCAATATTATTATTTACTATTACTATTATTTTTATTATTATTAAATTACATTAGACACATATTAAGGATCTCATCTTATTTACATTTTTTTCTTTTGCTTCGAAGTTTCAATAAAATCAATATCTTAATTAATTGACCCAATGAAGTGTCTAAGTCAATCATAATGAAGCTTAACACAAAAATTATTCATTTGGTTGATCTTAGAAGGCATGGAACCGGGCCGGGTCAGGGCCAGTCCCGGCCGGTCCGGGTCGGACCCGAGCCCGGTCTCGGCCGATCATGGTTCTAAATAATTGAAGCTCAGTATCGGTCCGGTTTGGTCTGGTACCGGTTCCGATCCAGGTCCAAAAAGTACCGGTCCCGGGTTGGGCCCAGGCCGGTACCTGCCCTTTAATTTTTTTAAAGTAGCAATTGGGACTAGGCCTATAAAATTTAAGCACGAAGAGAGACCCTCTTCTACCACTGTCCGATTACCGGGCCGGTACCGGAAAATTGGTCTCGGGCCTAGTCTATCCCTAATCTTTGGTGATGCAAGGACAAAAATTTACAAAATATACTCCGTAGTAAAGATGTATCCGGTACAATGTACATGATACTAGATAGTACTAGATTCTCACATGCGCGATGCGCGGGATATTAAAATGTAATAGTGATATGACATTATTTGTAAATGTTATTTGGTTGAGTGAAATGAAAGCAAATTGTCATACACTTAACACGTATACTTTTTTTTGTGTGAAAATTGCATAGGTGTGAAAACCCTGCATTGAGTCTGAAAATTGCAAATTTGAGAACCACTTAACACGTATACTAAATTATGATTAAAGATCGGATAACGAAGACTCAGAGATAGGTAGTAAGTATGTTTTGGAATAAGCAGGAAAAAGTAAACGTTAACAGGATTTCACAAACCACACATTACGAAAAACTTCCTTATAAACTACATTGGTGGTATGGTTAGTTGATTGACCATCTTCATCGTAGATTAATATCTTCAAACCCTTAGGATTTGTTACCCTTGACACTGCAACATACAGCTGACCATGCGTGAAGACCGACTTTTTCAGTAATAGTCCAACATGAGACAAAGATTGTCCCTGACTTTTATTTATAGTCATCGCATAAGAGGTCATGATCGGAAATTGTCTTCTCTGAAACTTGAATGGTATTCTTGAATCCGAAGGAGTTAAGCTTAACCTCGGAATGACAACTTCATGCCCGACATATTTTCCGCCCATAATTTTTGCCCCTAAGATATGATTTCCAAGTCTTGTAACAATTAACCTTGTTCCATTGCAAAGCCCCATGGAAGGATCAATATTCCTTAAAAGCATTATTGGAGTACCAACCTTTAGGGTTAACTCGTGGTTTGGAATTCCGGATGCACGTATTTTAATTAGAAACTCTGGAGTATGCAAATCAACCAGAATATCGACATTCGAGTCTGACTTGCAAATGCTATCTGAACTTAGATATGTCCTTGACTCTTCATTAACATTCATAGAAGTCATGTATTCATTAATTGCATCGACAACATCAAGGGTTGGAGTTAGAATTGCACGCTCTTGCAAGTAAGTCGGGTCATTGACAATATTCTCA